CTCGTGTTATTAACTATTTGAACTACTCTATCAGAACATGAGCAGGAGTTAAAAACTTAATGGAGCAAATAAATAGGAGCAGTGCAGGATGTGGATTAGAATCATTGGATACTTACAAAAATAATTACTATCTCACTATGATAATTAACAATTATTAGATTAGCCATGAAAGTTGAAAGTAAAGTGAGAGACTAGCAGAACTTGAGCAGGGCAGGAGTATGAGCTAGGGTAGCAATTAAACAGTCAACAGGCATGGGTTATATAATTAACAGTGAAAAGAATAAACCAACAATGAACATCACAGTACATGGAACATTACCAGAACAAGTAACAAGCTTTTCTTATTTTAAACATGTAATGTAAAATTTAAAAAGTTAGATCAACAATTATAAATTACAAGAAATGGATGGAGCATAGTAGAGAACATATGTATGAGGGATCATATGCTTAATATGAGAACTGTCTTTGAGAAATGCCACAGAATTCACTGTAGTAGTCTTGATACCTGCTTCATAGACTATAAAAAGGTCTGCATTTATTCGCGATACACAATTCTGGGCTTATGAAGTTCCCAAAACAAATGATCTGTTTTAATAAAAAAATTGCATCAAAAAAAAAAAAAAAAAGCAGCTGTCAGAGTAGCTGGTTATAGATGCAGGTAGAAATAGGATAGGGTTGTATTCTTCCCTCATAACCGTTCAACATTTACACATAAAATATAATGGAGAATGTTAAGGTGATCAGCATGAAGACTTAAGACTCAATGACTACAAGATGAGGTAGGCTTTGACCAGCATGAAGACTTAAAGACTCAGTGGCTACAAGATGAGGTAGGCTTTGACCAGCATGAAGACTTAAAGACTCAGTGGCTACAAGATGAGGTAGACTTTGACCAGCATGAAGACTGAGACTCAGTGACTACAAGATGAGGTAGGCTTTGACCAGCATGAAGACTTAAAGACTCAGTGACTACAAGATGAGGTAGGCTTTGACCAGCATGAAGACTGAGACTCAGTGACTACAAGATGAGGTAGGCTTTGACCAGGATGAAGACTTAAAGACTCAGTGGCTACAAGATGAGGTAGGCTTTGACCAGCATGAAGACTTAAAGACTCAGTGGCTACAAGATGAGGTAGGCTTTGACCAGCATGAAGACTTAGAGACTCAGTGACTACAAGATGAGGTAGGTTTGACCAGCATGAAGACTTAGAGACTCAGTGGCTACAAGATGAGGTAGGCTTTGACCAGCATGAAGACTTAAAGACTCAATGATTACAAGATGAGGTAGGCTTTGACCAGCATGAAGACTTAAAGACTCAATGATTACAAGATGAGGTAGGCTTTGACCAGCATGAAGACTTAGAGACTCAGTGACTACAAGATGAGGTAGGTTTGACCAGCATGAAGACTTAGAGACTCAGTGGCTACAAGATGAGGTAGGCTTTGACCAGCATGAAGACTTAAAGACTCAATGATTACAAGATGAGGTAGGCTTTGACCAGCATGAAGACTTAAAGACTCAATGATTACAAGATGAGGTAGGCTTTAACCAGCATGAAGACTTAGAGACTCAGTGGCTACAAGATGAGGTAGGCTTTGACCAGCATGAAGACTTAAAGACTCAGTGACCACAAGACTTGAAAAATGAATGAATGGCTGCGTGGTCTCGAGGCATGGCATCTTCCTCAAGTGCTGGAGGTCACGGGTTCAGGCCCCGAGTAAGGCGAGGATTTTTTCATGTGGACTTCTAGTAATTTCCACTGGTCTCTGGGTAGTGAGATTGGATGCCCATGTGTATTGTTGTGCACGTAAAAAAATCCCTTGGCTGTTGGAAATCGAAAAAGAGTAGCCTAACGGCGCTGCCGGGGTAAAATTTTGGTACTTAATTTATAACTTACCCCTGACGTCACGACAACGTCATGGGAGACATTCCCAATAAATTCTAGGGTGTTCAGGTTGTAGTTTCTCGCGATTTATCTACAGCCAAGTTTAGGGTTAGGGTTAGCATTAGAAGACACTAGATTAACACTCAAAAAAAGCACCACACAACAGCACACTTCCACCCCTTGAAATAATGGACTGTCAGGTCAGCTGTGGATTTCCCAAGGGGATTTCGTGTTTGGGGTACGTTATAAATTAAGAACCAAAATTTTAAGTTAAACAATCTTTCTAAAAGTATTTCAGAATCCCCGCTGGCGCTATGGAATTTGGGCACTGCTCTGAGATTCTTCAGGCTCAGGCTTGAGTCAGAAGTAGAACGGAGCACTTATTAGTTACTACCCTTGTGCAATGATGTTGATCTGTCGTCTAAACCTATGAATGGCGGAATCGAGAATGGACAACACTGTACATGGAACATTCCCCATACATCCTCCCAACCCCCTTTCTCAGTAGGCAATGAAGAGTTACCATATTGGGTACCATTGGAAACTAATTAAGACTTGACATGTGCAATGTGCTCTGCTAGGGGTTTGTTTCTACACGCCACATTGCTGTATTGACGAACACTTAGTTGCTATGACACACCAGAAACGAATGTTCAGCTATAGACCTTTATTCGCTGAATCAAACATATCACTGACAGCACATTCTTTCGTCCTCGTGGTCGTTATGCCTGACTGATTTCTGACGGCCTGGCCAATTCTCTCGCACACCGCTTTGATCCATCCATATCTCTCGAATCACACATCCATCTCCTACTAAAGCCCTGTACCTGATATCAGTACATGTTGAAACTGGCAATCAGGAAATATTAATGTCTTCTCTCAAACAGTTATACGTTGTCACAAGTTCTCTATTCTCTTCAGGCGTTCTCTTATATACGATCTCTTGCAACCAGGTCCAAACTTCAACTGTCTTACTACCGTCTCTCGGTTCACATCTTCCGTTCCAGTCTCATGCTTTTCTTGTATCCCTTATTTCCCTCACCATGGGATACTCGAGACCCACTTATCTCGTTTTTCTCTTGTATCACTGGTTCTCCCCATCGGGAACTCTCAGGGATTTCCCCAGGAATTCATAACATTACAACATGCTTTTCTCCCTGGGGGCCGAAAATTGTCCAGACCTTCTGTTCACTCCCAGCTAAATCATTATCTCAAGATATGAATACTCTGTTCTGCTGCAGTATTCACTTGGCTCCAGCGAGCCTTCACCATGTCCACTTTATCACAAAGTAGCTCACACCACCCCTTCACCCCAGTCTAACGGCAAGACATTAAGGATATGCTTGTCATGAACATACATGAGAACTGGCAAACAGTTTAGAATATCTCCAGTAGATTGTGGTGAGAGCAACATTCAGCATTGAACTTCTTGCTATGCTTGATGAGAAGTATCCCAACCCCACTTGGACCCAGGTTTTCACAGACGGCTCTGCTACAGATGCAGTCAGAAAGGGGAGCTGTGGAATATACATTAAACCCCCTAGCAGTAGAGCAGAAACTCTCTCTCTCTGTACCAGCAGATGACATCTGCACCAACTTCAGAGCTGAGGCAACTGCCTTCCTTTCTTACTTAGTGACTCATTGTCTCCAAGCACTATCAAGCAAAAAACAAGACAAACTAATTGCAGATCTAAGGACCAACATTGGCTTACTCTCCAAGGAAGCAGAACTGGTGAAGTGGATACCAGCCCACTGTGGTATTCAAGGAAATGAGAGAGCAGATGAGTTGGCAAAAGCTGGGAGTAATCTTCCACAACCTCATCTACCACACAGCTACAAGGAAACCAAAACAGAGCTAAAGCAGTCTTTCAAGCGGGAGTGGAGAAGGCAGAATGGAGATTACAGACCAGAGAGTGACAGCATAAACAAACTCAACAGAAAAGAACAAACATCAATTTTTAGACTTCGGACAGGACACTGTGGTTTTCGAGCACACCTGTACAGATTAGTCATAAAAGAAGGATCTGGCCCAAGGAAGCCACATTGCAAGAGAAGCCATGGGGGGCCGGTGGCGACCTTAAACGCACAATCCTATTTGTGACCTAGATGGGACTCAGTGTTTAGCATGACTGATGTCAAATGCAGAAGAAGAAGAAGCATTGAACTATGTTACATGATAATGATGATTTGATATGTGATTTTAGTAATAGCCAATTAAAATGGCCACAGCACCACAGAACAAGGTATAGTAAAAGCTAGGAATTAGCTGTCACTGCAGGGACATCAGTTTAAATACATGCGTTTATTTCCTAGATGTGTAAATTGAGAACTAGAAAAATTAACTCTTTGAGTGCCAAGGAATGCATCATACGTTCATAGGTTCCTGCCTAGAAGCCCAGTTAACGCTTGATGTGCTGAATTTATGTCTCTCTTTACTACACCTTGGGCCTGTGATGCTAAACCAACTGGGACTCAGAGAGTTAAAACTAATCTCTGATATTAAATTATATTTTTCCCATAATGATCCTATGGCCCAAATTTTGTGTGGGGGGGGGGGGGGGGGGGGGGTCTACTGCCTCTTAACAAGCATGTCCTTAAAGGCAGCTAATTTAGTGTTTGCTGATATAGAAGGTGTTGAGGCAAACGGTGCAAAGGCACATATACCATAAGTAAGTAAAGTAAAGATCCCTTTAAAGGCCTGGGCGCATCGGGCATATGGGAAGAGCACCCATATTTTTACATACCAATCGGCACTCGGTGGGTAATGTGGTCAGCATTACGCTGGCCGTCTTCACTTTCCCAGGACAGCCCATCCTGGTACCCATTTGAGACTGGGTCGACCTGCGACGTCCCATACCACGATAAAAATCCACGCAGCCCGCAGTGAGTTTCGATCGCGGTACGTTGGATTATGAGTCAGACTCGCAACGCCGTAGCCACGGACGCCGCACATATACAATAGCTTAGCTGTAAACCACATCACACAGTGCCAGCCGTCCTTTTAAGGACGACACGAAAGTAGAAATTGTGTTTGCTTTATAAACAACATTTGTATTGTTTTCTCTCTGCAGAAATCATTTGGGTCACTTTTGATAATCAGTAAAGAAGGCAAGCATGCCACCAAGTTCAGGAGAATTATGGGAGCATCATCTGATGCCCCAGCAGGTGGAAGTGGATTGCCTGTTGCCCACTGGTGTTCTGGTTCCACTCATCTGTACCCGTGACTCCACGCTGGAGACCATCAAAAAGGATTTGTGGCATGTAGGTTCAATGGCCTTTCTTTTGTGTTTACCAGTGTTTCCCAAACTTGTGTTAGTTTCAGCGTCTTTTTTCAATTAAAAATTTTTCCACGGCACCCTGACCTAAGTAAAATATGACTATTCATATCTAAGTAATTGGAAAAAAAAGAAAACCCAAAAAACTTGTGTATCTTCAAATATTTCGCGGCGCCCCTGCCAAAAGCTCGGCGTGCCAAGACTAACAGTTTGAGAATCACTGGTGTATACAGTTTTTGTGTCATTAACCCCACCTCCCCAAATTTCAACCTGTGTTCACGTATTTGCTCAATGTTTTGAGTGTGTTAGTTCTGACAGTACCAGGGAACTCACACAACTTGGTGGAATATTGTGAGGCAGGCGTGGTTGAGGTTTCAAGGGAGCACATGAACAATCCAGAATTGATCCATCACAGTCTGGTGAGTGATGCAGCAAGGAGTGACAAGGGGATCTGGCCTATACTCAACGCTTATAGGAAAGGCAAGATGGACATATAATCAGACTACTATTGGCACCATTGGTATTGGAACGCTGTGCTGAGTGCTAAGGAGGAGGATGGAGCGCTTATGGGAATGCCGGGGAAGTCAAGCATTGATAATTGAACACAGGTGGTCTTGAAGTTTGATATTCATACATGGTATTCTTGACTTACGACTGAGTTCCATACAAGTCGTAAGTCAAATTTATATTTTTCAATACCATTTTCTTTCCAAAGTTTTGTTAAAATTGTACACAGAACACAACAAGTTTATATACATATAATTATTCTATGTAATGTGACAAATACATAATATTTATTTGATAGATTCAGTTCCTAATCTTTCTTTGATTACTATTTTAGTTTTTATAAACAAAAAATTTTGGGTGGTCATAAATGCAGATGGTCGCAAATCGCATAGACTGTAAGTCCGGGAAAGGTGTAAATCCTATTTGTGGTCTAGTTCTTAGTAATTTTAGGTAGTTTATGAAGACTCGGTAGTATGACTGTAATGACTAGTCACCAACCTGCTGCCCAAAGGTCCTGAGTTTGAATCCACATTGAGTCAGATTTCTATCAGAATCGATTGTGGCTCCTAGGTCGACCCAGCCTAACATGAGAAGCAGGTCATGTCATGGGAAGTAAAGGTGGCTGTTGACCACATGTGCCGATTGGTCAATACATAAATGAGTTGTAGCATCATCTTCCCATAATGAACCACTGCTGTAAAAAAAAAAGCACAAACTTTACTGTTTTTGAAACAAAACAAAACTTTTTGGCGTCTGTGGCTTAGGCATTGCGAACACGCTTCTTAATGCCGGGGTACCGGGTTTGATCCCAGTTGCGGACAATGGAACAGAGAGCTGACCATTCAGGAAGCAATGGCAGACTGCTGAACGTAAAAATTGCCTAGAAACACCACAACACCCAAGAAATGCTGGGGTTGGTTCTGCAACCTCCTGTAAAGTATACGCAACTAACTTTTTTTTTTTTTAAACTTAACTGGGTTTTGTTGTAAGCAGTATTCATTGATTTAGAGAAGGAGAAGCTGGATTTCATTATCATGGAATGGGTTGTAATAAGATTACTTCACATCAGTTGTTAAGTCCAGGAAGCCTAAGTACACATGTTCAACTCTTTGTCCAAGGCAAATATTACTGTAACTATTATTCTTTTATCCTTACCCACACAGTAAGCGAATATGGCTTAGGCGTTATGAACGCGCAACACAATGCCGGGTTGGATCCCAGCTGCGGGCGGTTTGTCTTCGTGGTTTTGACAGTGGTGCCGAGAGCTGACCATTCAGAAAGCACTGGCAGACTTCTAAACCTAAAAATTGCCTAGAAAAACCACAACAACCAAAAAATGCTGGGGTTGGTTCTGCAACCTCCTGTAAAGGATACTCAACTTTACCTACACAGGACTGCAGGCAACACCTGACTGATGTGGTTGTTACACATGCTGCAGTTCTAATATTTTTGACAGTTGAACAGGGTCTGACAGATTTGTCCTGTTGGTCTGCCATCCAGATTATAAGATTTTTAAAATCTTAATAGTCACACTTTCTGATGATGGCTCAGAGGGGGAAAACAGAAGGAACAGATAACTGGTGTTAGTACAGTAAAAAATCTCTGAATCTGGACAGTTTTAGACAATAATACTGAAGGACAGTGGGTTGTAGTTGGGATAGAACGTGTAAGTGTATCTCCTAGATAAGAAACATGAGTTGAGAAAAACATATTAAAGCAAAGCGTAACCAGCACAATGAGCTGCTTGTGCTGAATAAGTAAAGTATAACTTTTTTTTTCTAAAATGTACTTCAGTTGTTTGCCTTCTTTCAGTTGAGAACTCAGGTGGCTTCTCAACAGTGAAGGTTGGCTCTAACAGATTGCCAGCACACCCTGTTTCACTCTCTCAGACTGCTGTTCGTCCATCTCTTGATTGATGGGGGCAGTCATTTGTAATCACTGACAATGATTGGTTGGTTATTTTTAGTTTGTGGCGCATTTTTTTCACCAAATACCCAAAATTAGGTCAAAAAGATTAGGAAAATCCCAGAAAAATGGTACAGTGGTCTGGTAGAGTTAAGAAAAGTCTTCTACAGTTAGCACATAATGTTTTTAGAACCGCTGTTGCCATCACATGTAGTTAGTATGTTTCTTCTTAAATGCTTAACTCTCAGCCTTTCTGCAGTCATATTTTCCTCTTTTTCCCCATTCCCTTCAAGATTTGACCCCACCATGCAACACAGTCCTTGGCATTTTGTTCCTACAGACCTACCTCAATGCCCATATTGTTCATGTCCCACACGCACACATCTGTATGTCATAGCAGAGGCTGACTTTGAAATCTTCTACCAAGCTGTAAACTCATCTGTTTCTCTCCAGTATTTTTTGATTAAAAAAAAATGTTATGCCTTTTAATGTAACTGATATTATATTTCAATTGTCTCTTATTCAGTTTTCTTTCAGCTACTATCTTTTCATTCTCTGTCTCTTCGGAACCTCTGTATTTAATTGCTTTTGTCTCCATGAAATACGACCTATTCATCTGAATATCCACATCTTCAGGGAAGTGAGTTTTATTTTCTTTAGAAAATACACTGTTTGCTAATAATTAACAATCTCTTTCTGGACATAATTGATACATTTCGAAATATTTCTTATCCAGGAAGCAAAGAAGTATCCACTATTCCACAAGTTGATGGAGCCAGGATCTTACATATTCCTGTCAATCACACAAGATGCAATGAGGGAAGAATTTTACGATGAGACTAGGCGACTGTGTGACCTGCGTCTGTTTCAACCAATACTGAAGGTCATGGAGCCCGAGGGAAATAAGCATGAAAAAATGTTGAATTATGAAATAGGTAATCATGTTTGTAAAATACTGCTTGTTTAAATGTTTCATTAGTATTGTTTGTCAGTGTTACATTCATATCAGTTTTGGATATCTGTTGTGTGCAAAATCACTGGGGATTGTAAAGAGTTAATTAATGAAGCCAGGACTTTGTGTGACAGGTTTGGAAATGTAAACATCTGAGCCACTTAAAAGTTGTGAAACAGAAGTTGCATGCTATTCACAGGTGGCTGCTGAGTTTTTTTGGGAAATGTGAAATCCACGTGTAACCGACCGCAGGTGTGAAAAGTCCCATGGGAGTTTGAGTCAGTAGCTTTCAGTTCGTCTAACCGTGTGAATGTGTGTGTTAGAGTTGTTTGTCTGGTGGACAAATGGATTGTGTTTTATTCTGTTGAAGTTCATATGAACTGTCCGGAATTATTGTGGCGGATCAGGAAATGGACGTAGGAATTCTGTCAGGGTGATTTCTAGAATGGACGGTTGTGTGGCCCATGTATGTTAGGAGGTCGGCACAAGTGCGGCTATGTGGCATACTGGTTGTCGGGTATCCTTGAGTGCACAGAAGGTGCTTGGGGAACTTTGTGTATGTTGACCAACAGGGAGATGTGATGGGGAAGCATCAGAGGCTGATTAACAGGATGTTAGTTAGTGGTGCTCAGTGAGTAGCTGAGGTAGCAGACGGTCAGTCTGGAGTCTTTTCACCAAGTGGTGCATCTACCTTGTGTTCTTGGTTGTCAGGGTCTTTTAGAGGAAGAACTGTCAGAGGATTGTCACTGCACATCACATAGGTGTATCTGCGCGATCAGGCGTGAGTTGCCCGTAGCAGGCACATGGTGCATAGTTCGCTGGGGTGTTTTGTCCATCTCTGTATAGAGACTGCCGATGTTATTGTTAAGAAGGCAGTAGAAGACTTGACAGTGTGCAGTCGATCACTCATCTTCGTCGTAATGTGTTCGTCCATAATAAAGAGACTGATTGCACTACAAGATCATGCTTGGCGTAGTGTATTATGTTACAGCACGATAGGACATGTTACTTGTGTCTGGTTATATTACTGCCATTATTTTGGGTTGGCCCTTCTTTACTCCTGTTATTATCGCCATCATCCTGTGTCGTGCCAAGGAAAGTGGGCAGCATGGTTAGTGGGTAGAGAGAATCCATTGTGTGGGTGTGGAGGACAGACATTTATATATACAATTCCCCTAGACCAGTGTTTCCCAAAATGTTCTTAGTTGTGGCGCCTTTTTTCAGAAAAAATTTGTCCTCTGCGCCCTAACCTAAATAAAAATATGAATATTTGTATGTAAGTGATTTAAAAAAAAAAAAATTGTGTATCATCTCTTTTAGTTGTGCTCCAAGTTTCAGAGCCATATAAAATGACTGGTACCATTTCATTAGGTGTTTTTTTTTTTTATTGTTGCCTGGCTCTTTACAATCCAGATCCTGTTTAACTGATTCATCACATATTACATTTATGTTGCTTTTCTGCACTGATTACAGGTATGCTTATTGGCACCCCTGTGAGTGAATTCAATGAGAACAAAGATTTGGAGGTGATCACTTTTCGAAGGAACATACTGCAGGTAATATCTCACTTCATTGTGATCGTCATCATCATCATCCATGTCACACTGGGCTCGCAGCCTATTCCTTCATTCCGTTCTGTGCAAGTTTCTTACTTACACACAGTCATTCTTATGGTATGGTTTGTTGCCATAGTCTTTAAGCTTGTGGGGGAAATGTGTTGAAGTGTTTTGAAACTAACCACCTGTTCTTGATATTTTTGCATACGACTTATTATATAGTTTTCTCTTTCTTCTTTTTTCTTTTCCTCCTCCACCTTCTGCTCTTCTTCCTTCTCCTCCTCCTCTTTCTGTTCTTCTTCTTCTGCATTCCATACCCATGAGGGGTTCATTGTTGCAGATGTCACTCACCTTCATTCATCTCTGTGATTGGTCTTTCAGGCTGATAATTTGAATGTTTGTAGGTCTGCATGTAAATTTCCTCTTCACTGCCTTCTTAGTCTGCCCTATGGTCTGCTCCCATTCAGCTCTTGTGTGTGCAGCTTGTGTATGCATGCGTGCATACGCACCTGCCTGCCTGCCTGCCATTCTCTCTGTATACCCCATCTGTTGCAGTCTGTTAGCCGTCATGATATTGGTCATTAGTGGTATTTAGTTGTGCTACTTTTAAATATTGAGAGGTTGGTGTAACATTGTTAAGAGATATTGACTAGTTTGAATTAAACATTTGTAGTGAGGGCAGTATTGTCTTCTTTGTCTGCTCTTGTAGAAAATACAGAGAAAGCATGGGCCTTTCGACTTACCCCAAGCCATGTGCCCTAGAGAGGTCACGCTGGGGTCGCTTAACAGCGTCCATCTCCTATGTGGCAGAGACTACCACTCTCACATAAGACTTTACAGTCATAACAGATACTGTTCACAAAACCAGCAGTACAGTTCCACAGTCCCTTGGGACTGATGGTTGCCTACAATACCTGTAAATGATGTCTCTTAGGTTAACCAAATGTAAACACTTTCTCTGTGCAATAATTTACAACTGATGAAGAGTAACCCAGTTTGTATACTTTCTTTATAAACTTTTGCCCCTGAGTCATATAGATACAAATATCAATCAATATGTTGTTTCTTCCACCCAAGTTGTGCAAAGAAATTGTGGACAAAAGGGACCAGAGTGGTGATCATGCTAGAGCTTTGTATTTCTACCCACCAGACATATCATCAGATGAGCTGCCACCACACCTGCAGGAGAAGCTCAAACTGTTTACAGGTACAGTGTCCAACTTTCGTATTGTTTAATTTACAGTCATCAGATTTGAGTGTATAGTAGTAACATTTTAGTATATAATAGTCATATTTGTGTATACAAAGGTTACATTTGAGCATAAAGTAGTCATATTTGAGTAATCGTAGCCACTTTTAATATACAATAATCACAGGACACCCAGTGACGCAAAGTGCCACCAATCAGATGAGGATCACCTGGGAAAATGTCCCAGAAATCCCGTTCAGCCCATAGTTTGGGTTATATAAGGGCACCAGGCAGCATCTGAGGTGAGGCTTTAAAACAACAAAATTGCATCCGACATTGGGACACTGCTTAAACCTGTGATTAATTTTTATTTAGGCATTTGTAATAGAGCTAACACTGTTATTCTAAAGTTACCGACACCTTTTCCACATACAGCTATATAATTTATTCAGTTTTAAATGTCTGGTCACATACAGTATTGTTAAAGGTATAAACAACTTTTATACTGCAACGGTTCAAAGCAACAGATATTTCTTCACTGTTTTAAAGTTACAAGCAACTTTTGCATGCATATACCTGTAGTTTTTAGTTACAAGAGGTTTTTAGCATATGCCTGAACAGTTTTAATGTTACAGGCCCAGATTGCATAAACTCAAGTACATAATTTTTTTTTCCCAATCTTTTGCATTAGCTTACATCCTAATTTGTTAATCACAAACTGAATATAAAAACAAGCAACTTTCTTTATAACCGATTTGACTTTTACGGTCACAAGCTGCATCTTTCGAAACAGACTTATTCAGTTGCAAGCTGCTTTCATCATAACCGACTTAGACCGAACAAACACTGCAGTTTATGTAGGAGTCAAAATAGCAGATAAAGACAAATTCCATGTGAATAAATAATTCAGAAGATACAACAAAAGCTGCTTTTGTCATCGTAACTCATTTAGACCTCTATAATCACAATATACTTTTAGCATACCTGACTTAGACTTTTAAAATCCAAGCAACTTTTATCATAACTGACTGAAACTTATAATCACAAGCAACTTTTATCATAACTGATTTAGACTTTTTATTTTTTGTTTAGTATCCAGAAGCCATGAGTTGTTAACCCTTAGAGTCGGTATTATGGATATTGCAACCCTTCGGCCGTGATTCCATGATAATTACCGTAAATCTGGGAGAAATGTGGCTTTTCTGCCTACCCCTGGGTGTAAACCCAGACCACAAGAAGTTCGTCACCCGGTCACAGCGCAGTCCACTCTTATAGAAACTATACTGCGGGAAACAGTTTAAAGGAAGAGAGCAAGAGGTAGACAAAGATACAGATTTGATGATAATATATAAAGACTGACAAACAGCATTATTGGAAAGTGTATGACTAAAGAGAAGGACCATATTAAAAATCCACTACAGCCAGCATTCTTAGTGGAGGCGGCACTGACTGATTGATTGAATCACCGACTACTAGTGTGATAATTTAAAAGGTGTCCTGCAGATTAGCCTCACACGTACCCATATGGCTGATCATGTATTCCACCACCTTAATTTTGACAATATAATTTACAGCATGGCTATTTAACTGGCGGCCCACAGGCCAGATTTGGCTCTCAGAGGCCTAGCAAGAAACCCACAGAAAAAAAACAAGAATATAGACCCACTGCCTTCCCAACAATCATGTCGTCGGAGCTTCCTTTGATGTGAGTGAATTTGCCCAAGTGGCAAGAACAACCAGCTGCACACATATAAGCCAGTAAAAGGGATGCAGGCCTTGGCACAAAGCCAAAATATAAATTAATGAACAACCAGGACTTTCCCGCCAGAGCTTACAGCCAGTGAACAAAGAAGGAGAAGAAGTATTGTTTCATAATCTTTCTTTTTTTGTGTGCTCAGGCTTCTGGTTTGTGATGATCTCCTTCTTGAAAATGTTGGCCCCTGAGTAAACTTAGCTGAGTAGCTTATACTTATAGGTTATCTTAGGGTGACCATATGTCCTGTTTTCACACTGACAGTCCCTTTTTTTAAATGTGCCCAGGCCATCCGTTGTACACTACAAGAACAGCAGATGTCTTGTTTGATAAAAATCTAAGACTAAACTCAATACACTACATACACTCGTAGTTTGAGGTTTAAACAATGGATCACCATCATGGCACCCATTCTGCTTCGTTGTTTTTCTAACTCAAGACTGAGTCTGAAGAAGCTCAGCACAGTGCACAGACTCTGTAGCACTGGCAAGGATCCTGAAATACTTTGTGTTGATTTTTCACTCCAAATTTTTGCCCGGGCAGCGCCGTTAGGCTATTCTTTTCGATTTCCAACTGCCAAAGGATTTTTTACGTACGCAACAATGCACAGGGGCGTCCGATCTCGCTACCCAGAGACCAGGGGGAATTACTAGAATTCCGAGTCCACATTAAAAAATCCCAGCCCTTGCCGGGAATGGAACCCGGAACCTCCAGCACTCAAGGCAGACACCATGCCTTGAGACCACGCAGCCCCTTACACTCATAGTTAAATCTGGAGATCCTATTAGATTTCATAGTTTAAGATACTTTTAACGCCCAAAATGTATTGATGAGAATTTTCATTATAGCATTTTTTTAAAAATCAGTGCAGTTGCGGAACATATTGGATAGCTGATTTCCTGGCGATAATAGGTCGGGTTTGAAAAGTACCGTTGCCGGTCGAGAAAATTGACTTACTTGGGATATCCCATTTTAAGCTCAAAATATTGGTGATATGTCGGCGAAAGAAATTGTGGTCGCCTTAGGTTACCCACAAATGATGCCATGTTATTTCAAATTTCAGAAAACTCCATAATTATCTGTGTATGGGTGGTATCAGATGACAACAACCGCACCAAGTACACAGTCAAAGTTACACACACAGCTGTTCCTAGTGATGTTATCGCCGAGACCATCCGGCGGCGCAGTCGGTTTATGAACATGAGCCGGGAGCATGCGGAGAGGTGCATTGAGGAGTATCGCTACATGTATGTGCTGAAAGTTTGTGGCTGTGACCAGTTTTTGCTGGCTGAGTGTGCCATTAGCCGGTACAAGGTAATGATAACACTGACTGTCATGTGTAAGTGTGAAGATAGCTTATGTGAACACAAACAATAAATGTTTCTTCTTCTTCAGTCACAAAAATATACAAGTTATCATTTCCTAAGCTCTGTGGTTTTGAAGTTAGTGAAATGGTTTAACAGTATAGTCCTCAATCTTTGTCAAGGTTCGATTCCCACAGTAGGCATATCTAAAAAAAAAAAAGACTGTTATGGCTTTTAGTCAGTGGTACAATAGTCACACCAGGGAAAAGATTGATGCCTCATTATGTTATAATGCCATTTTTAGCAGGGGCTTATATTGGTGCCAACCACTGTTGTGGAGACACCACAGTTTTTAAAAAAAACCACACACAAAAAACTCCCTTTTTCATATTAGTAACCGCTGTATTTTACTATATTTTCTTACTTTTTGATGACCTGACAATTTTAGAAATAAAGTGCAAATATGATACGCACTTACTTAGTCGCTCCTCTTCTGCCTTGAGGTGTAGAGGTTTGCCCGAGAGATCGCTGACGTCTCTATTAGCAGTTTTCTTTCTGGCTTTGTTCCATTCCAGTCCTCTGTCGGTTAGGGACTGTTGGATGTTGTCTTCCCAGCACACCCTGGGCCGCCCCGGAGGTCTGGTTCCCTGGTTCTTAGCCTTCCATGCCTGCCATGGTGGTTGATTTTCTCCCATTCTGCATACATGTCTGAACAATCGAAACTGACTGATCCACTCAGGTTTGTAAGGACTGGGTATCAAGATCTTGACGTATTGTCTGATTGCGGACTTTGTCACTTGGACCACCTTTCTGAGATATCTAATTTCTGAGGCCTGAAGCTGGCTTCTGTGAGCTGTTGTCATTGCCCATGACTTACACCCATAGGTCAGGACTGGTACATAGGTAGAGCCAAATATGATACGACAAACATAAAATATTTGCAGTCACAACTTTTCCATTAGATGTTGCATGGACAGAAACAAAAATTCCTATTTTAAATATTGATACACAGTGATGACAAGGGAAAACAATCAGGAAATACTACCTTAATTTGTTAAATCTTAACATTATACCATATCCTTTCAACCTGTTTATATTGTATTCTACCTCCCATATGCTAATGTCTTGTGTCAGTCTAACTACCATATCATACCTACATATGTTTATCTGCCATTGTGGGCCTGATGGCTAGGACAGCCCATGTTAGTCTATAGGTAGTGCAGATCATGTCAGTTTATCGGAAAGAGTGCTGTGGATTGACTTGATGACAAATGCCACACCTGAGTGAGCTATGAAAAGTGTACATTTAAACTTTATCAAGAAGAAGAATTTTCGGTTATGTTATTTATTTATTATTTCCCCTTTGGCACTGCAGCCTTAAGGTTTGACATCCAGTGACTCAAAGAGTCACCTTTCCATGGTGGTCCTACAAGAATAGATTTATGATACCCCACTCAGCCATATAAGAGAGATGGTTAAATTGGGCCACCCTACGCCGACAGTCTAACAAGCTGTCCTGTATGGGTCAGAGATTCTTCTTTTTCACATTCGTCATCATTATTAAGTTCCACTTCTGCCGTTAAACATTGTGGGAAGGAACGGTTTGTGATCCGTTGCTTGATGGGCAGCAGTAGCTATTGTCATTCTCTGTCGATATAGAGGCTCTTTAATGTCATCAGTCCGTTTTCTCCTAGGGTGACCTCTTGCTCTCATTTCAGATTTTTTCATGTGTAGCACATGCATTTGTAGTTTTTTGGGGGATGCATTCTTACTAGATGATCAAACCATTTGGTCTTCTGTTTCTGAATGAATTTGCTGCATGTTGTTGCTTCCACAGTCTGTCTGAAGATATCCTTTCTTTGTCTCGGTTGGTTATGTTGGTGACTTTTCTCAGGCATCCCCTTTCATAGGTGTTAATTTGATCACACAGGTTAGTCTCTGATAATGTCCATGTCCGGCACAGTACTTTCAGTTTTGCGTGCACATCCATGTAACAGATCTGGCTTATTTGTATGCAGACTGTTGATCCCTTGCCTCTCAGGTAGATGCACTCTAGCTTCGAAGGAAACACCCATAATTATTAGACTTGTATGACATGCTTGTTAGGGGGCAGTGGGTGTGCACCCCCACCCCCGCCATGGGTCCCTGGAACCTACTTGTGAAGGTAGGAGATTGTTAGTAGCAGAATTTGTTCATTTTATCTTCGTCTTTACTGCTGCTTCTTTTTCTTTAAATGCATGTGCCCTTAATAGGGCGGGTGGCACATTGTGTTTTGATTCATGGCTGAGCTGTGATATCCGGCCCTTTCATCCTAACTTATCCAATTTCAGCAAATCCCTGATTAGTCGCCTTTAGTGACGTGCTTGTTAGTGGGGAGTAGGTTTATTTCTCCCACCCTCTTAGACCTCCGATGGAGCCATAGGAATAATCTTCTTTTTTCATCTCACTGATGCCAGGTTGTAGCCCAGTGTTATGTTTTCTGTGTTTCTTCTCGGCACTTCTTGAGTCTCTTGGGTAATGGATTTGTTCATCTTTATGCAGGTTTCAGCTATCCCTCTCTTGCTTGGTCTTCCTCTTACAGTGCTCCAAGATGTTCTCTAAAAATGTCTCATATGCAGTTGGGCCTGGCTGCATTCTCACTTGATGGCTGAACCATTTTATTCTTTGTGTGTCAGTATAATCCTGATGTGGTCTTATTCCAACTTTCTCTCTAACGCTGGTAAAGGAATTACCAGTGTTTTAGTTCACTCTGTAAAAAAAGTGTACACAATTGGTTTTTTAAATATTACACAGTATATCAGAGAATGCCTGGCCAGGGATCTTATACCTCAACTGATGCTGCATACGAAAGAGAATGTGTATGCCACCTTGCCCGAGACGAAATTCTTTGAGCCATCCTACACACAGAAAGGTAGGAACACATTTATTGATGACAAGGCTGCAGTATCTTGTTAAAATAAAGTTTGAAAAATGAAGTTATCACCATCATCATTATCATCATCCTATGCATTGACATATAGTGTAGATTGTTGTGTCAGTCTTGGAATATGAATGGAAACATTATTTAAGAAGAGCGTGTGGTTTCTGAGAAGCATGTTAGGAAATACCTGAATAAACACATGGATGACTGAGCTGTATGGTTGTTGTGAGACAAGAACATTTGCTGTGATTCTGGCCATTAACTGAGAGGGCAAAACATGACAGCCTACACTGTTGGCACATGATGGTGATATTGGGAGTACTTTGGACAGCAAATGAAACTAACACGATGGCTGGGGGAGGGGGGGTGTGTGTGCAAATGCAAGTAGAGCTTAATATGCAACCCCATGCACGCACGCATGCACACACACAACAGATGCTGTTCCTTGGTCATGTGATGTGAAGTGGTGAGCTGTAAAACATAATTTTGACTGCTTACAAAAAAAGGCAGAGGCAGACCAAGAATAATGATTGGATGGCATTGAGGAATATTGCCAATTAAACTAGTTCAAAAAAACCAAGCACCAAGATTTATTGATAGAAAGATGCTTGAAATACTGGCTGATATATTAAGAGCTGCAGTTTACAGTTGTTTCCAAGCCTGTCTAATAGTCATAGATTCAGATCCTCACTGAGGCAAATTTAAAGTTGGCTTGGTCTCTCCATATTATTAGTCTTTCCTCTTGAGCCTAAGATGGCGTATGGGGCAGAGGTCATAGCTGTCCTCGTTTGGTGGTTTGTTGCCACCTGTTTTAGGTCTTGGATGTTCATTAAGACCCATGGTTGTGCCTTCCCTGATGATGGTTCTACGCAAGGTCGATCTCTCTTGGTCTTCCCCATTGTATTTTCCCTTCCGGTTCTCCAGTGAGTTTCCAGTCTGGGCCAAGATGGTGGGACATTTCTCTCTAGCTTGGCTTAAGACTGTTGATCGACTGCAAACCACCATTGTAAAACATCCATTATTTTAAAATCAGATTTCTAACTCTCCATATTGACTCCGACTAAAATTAGTAACAACAACATGTTCTTAGCTGTTGAGAACTGACAGCACACACTCTGGACATTCTCATAAGCACACTGTTCTCAACTTCAGCAGTCCGCAAAGAGTTCCAGCGCTGATGGTGCCAGTAGCAGTTTGATTATTCCGCTCTGGGCTGTTGGGTTAAGAACTGACAGCACACACTCTGGACATTCCCATAAGCACACTGTTCTCTACTTCAGCAGCCGGCAAAGAGTTTTAATGCTGATGGTGCCAGAAGCAGTTTGATTATCCTTTGAGCTACGGAGTGTGTACTCTCAGTTCATATCATCTTGCGTCCTGAGAAGTTTAGACAACAGCCAGGATATTGAGCAAAATACTCACGGAGTGTTAATTGCTATCTAAAAACTGGCTCCACATGCATCTCGAGGCATGGAGACAAGATGTTCATTCACTTTGTTTAGGATGAGCAGCTGGCGGGGAAGATTTGAGTCCTGGGCTCTTATGTGGGAGACCTAGGGTCAATCCTCAATATCCCCATGTGTGTTCCGGGGCCCTATTATGGGAGAACAAGAATCGACCCCACTGCCTCCCTGACAAGCATGTCATAAGAGTTGACTAACTAGGGTTTCCTAGTGCATCTGCCTAAAAGGCAAGGAACCAACAGTCTGCATAAAAATAAGCCAGGTCTGTAAAACGGATGTGCGTGCAACACAGAAGTCCTGGAACAAGACTAAAGTCCAGAAGTGGATGAACAACCAGAACTTTTCACCGGAGTTTGCAACCATTGAAGATGAAGACGAAGAATCTTTTAAGGGATGGAGGTTTTCTTCTGTTGGGGACAAAAATAAAACTGCTAACATGCACAGGTTGTGGTGACTGCAAAAGCCATGCAACCTTAAATCCTGAGGCTCATGACCTCCCTGTCCTTCAATAACCTAACACTGGGAAAACTAGCCAGTTTAATTTGTTTACTTAAATAATGAGTTCAGAGGGTTAAATCTGATTTTATTTTTACCGTTGACCTGTCATTTGACATTTTCTGAATTTTATTATAACTGACTTCAGGCAGACAGATTGGCTGGATCTGCACCACTGGGTAGGGAATTGATACATGACAAGGCAGATGTGGTCAAGGCTCTTTGGGAACAAGCTACGGAATTAGTAGAGAAAGAAGATTATTATGGCCTGGGTGTAACCAGAGGGTCTGGCCGGCTTAGTACACTCAGAGGAATGGCAAGACAGACATGTAACCAGATTGTGTTGGGTTCCATCAGTATTGGAACTCTGCACTGGCTGCTGAAGATGAGAACGGAGCACATATGGGAATGCCCAGAGTGTTGTGATGTCAGTTCTTGACTCAACTTTCTGAATTACTTAGCAGTGAACTCACACTTATCTTTGTTGTTGCTGGTAAAGGTATCCAAGCTCTGGCCGAAATCAACAACATACCAACATTGTCAATATGGGAAGTGCATGCGGTGCTGAGAATTAGGATCAACTGTGCTACTTATGTTAACATTAAAGAACTTGGTCGGGTGAGTAGTGTTGTTCATATGTGCATGTTAACATTAAAGAACTTGGTCGGGTGAGTAGAGTTGTTCATATGTGCATGTTAACATTAAAGAACTTGGTCGGGTGAGTAGTGTTGTTCATATGTGCATGTTAACATTAAAGAACTTGGTCGGGTGAGTAGAGTTGTTCATATGTGCATGTTAACATTAAAGAACTTGGTCGGGTGAGTAGTGTTGTTCATATGTGCATGTTAACATTAAAGAACTTGGTCGGGTGAGTAGAGTTGTTCATATGTGCAGTGTCTTAATTGTATACTTTTGTGTGTGGGGGGTTCAAGTTTGCCTCTAGTTATGGACACCTTTAGGCCTTTATTTCTAGGTCAACTCTGCCTCAAATGGGGACCAGAAAAATACTTCAGAAGTAAAGGTGGATGGCAGGATGTTGACCACATAAACCAGGGAATATGAGTCTGTCTGTCTGTGTGTCTATCTGTCTAACTGCCTACCTATCTGTCTGTCTTTCGGTCTGTCTCTGGTATCCCATGACATTTTACACTCCTTCATTTCCCTGTCGGCTATCCTGCAGGTTGTCCTGCATGGTCCACATCTCATATTGCCACCTGCCAGCCACCGGAGATCTTCCTTGACCAAGTGTCACAGGACATTCTGCTAACCAATCTCAGCTGTCTTTTCTGCTAACCAATCTCAGCCGTTTTTTCTTCATATGATAACATTTGTTAGTGATGAACTTTATGTTTTACTCCTCATTTTTTCATTTGTGATTTTGGTGCTTTATTAATATCCTACCCCAATTAGGGGGAATCTACAGGTCACGGGACAGTCTAATATTTCAGGAGGTGGTAGATAGGCTGCATGCAGTCATGGGACCTAGGCTGCATGCAGTAGTGAGACCTAGGCTGCACTCTTTCTTGCAACGAAGGTGGGTTGGGGTTAGGGTCAGTTCTAGATGTTTTGGGATTGTTAAAAGCATCAGAAAGCCGGGAAACCCAGTCTTACCACCCTCTAAAATGTTGGACTGTCCTGTGACATCATCTGGGGTAAGATATAAATAATCAATGTGATTTTATTGTTGGCAACTTGTACCTTATCTCACTATCGTGACTTTGTTATTTCCTAATATGCCTATTGTCATATTGTGGACTTTTTCTTTTCATTCTGCATTATGTGTGAAATATTTGATTCATTGGTGCACATTATGTAGCCCAAGTAGTGTAGAAGCTAGATGATCGTCTGCTGACTTTATGGTCTAGGGTTCAAATCTGTATCAAGGTGGGTATATTTTTTTCAAAATTTGAAACTGGCTCCCAGGTTTACCTAACCTAAAGATGAGTGTGAGGAAATGTCCTGGGAGGTAAAGGCGGCTGGGGTGATGTTGGTCACACCATACATTGAGTACACAATTAAGTAAGTTGGTCTGTAAAAATATTGGTCTAGTCCTGTTTGCCAATGTACCTGAAAGTGTAAGAGGAGTCTTTGACTTACTTTTACTGTAAATTTATGTATTTTTTATTGAGAACATTAGCTCACGAAACCGAAGTAAAATGTTTTATTGGCTGGCAAAGATTGTATTGAGCTAAAGAACTTGAAACTATAATCAGATGTAACTGATGTGTGAGGAGCTTAGTTCTTCTTTTTCTGTTTCTGCCTTCCCCCGCTAAAATGTGTTTGGCTCATTGTAGTTTACAGCTAGGCTGTGATATCTGCACCTTTTTGGCCTACACATCCGATTTCAGCAAATCCTTAATTAAACACCTTTTATGACATGCTTGTTAAGAAGCAGTGGGACTATTCTTGTCTTCCTCCCCCTTCTTTTCTTCTTTTAAAGCAAAAATTCACGTGTGTGTGTGTGTGTGATTATAATGCTGTGGTTATGTGTAACATGTGTTTCTCCATCCCACAGTGTAAGACTGGCTTCGCCATCCCTCATTGTAATACTAGTATTGCCATCCCACATTGTAATACATTGTAAATTGGTTGATCCAATTGATAACTTCAGTGGCAGAATAGTTCAGCTTCATTTAAGTTGGTTGACTTGACTTGTTATGCTCCTTTTGTAGATAAAAGACATAAGAAGAGAATCACCATTTTCAAGTGTTTCCCTATCTTTTCAGATTTACATTCGGGCCTGTATATATCATGGTACTGAAGCACTCTCTGAGGCTAAGAACACAAAAGAGGTGGAATCTTCAAGTCCTCGATGGGATGAGTGGCTGGAGTTCTTGATGGTGCCAGATTTGCCTCGTTCAGCAAGACTTTGCTTGTCTATCTGCTCAGAGTCCAAGCGGAGGAACAGAAAAGTTAGTTTGCATTTTTTGTTCTTTCATTTATTCTTGCATTCACACACCCCACACACAAATCTCGTAAGGGGGGGGGGGTTGAGAATAGACCCACTGCCTGTCTAACAACGATGTCTTGCAAGGCAACTATTAGGGAAGTTTTCTTCGTGTCGGAATGCATGTGCCAGAGAGCCAAAGAACCAACATTCTGCATACAGATACTCCAGATCTGTAAAATGGATGTGCATGCAAAAGTCAATTTCTGGAACAAGACAAAAAATTTGCAAAGCTTTGGTTATAATTGTGGTAGTGGTGTTTTGCTATAAGGTTCTTTGATTCCTCTTTGTGGCAGACAGCTTCTGCCAGGTATTTCTTTGTTTGGCGCCCATGCTGGTTGGATTTTTGCTGGTGAGGTTTCTACTACTGTGAGAGTTAGTGCTCAGTTGTGAGTCCTAAAAAAAGACTGGTCCTTTAAAAAAAAACTTTCTGGAGGTTTCAGGCTGTTTGCATTTGCACTTGTTCTGAATGTGTTCAGTGGATTATCGTTCTTTGTAATGTTGGTATTTTCCCACGGGAATTCTCTAAGTAATAATATGGGAGTAAAACTTGAGATAAGAGAATGAGAATGGGAATACTCGTAGAAACGCGAGATATGCAAGCAGGGCTCAAACCAGCATGTGAAACCCAGAACGAGGGTTATAAGGTTAGACCAAGGTCTAATCAGTTAGTATGTGTTTGGCAGCTGGCGTGAAAGGTTGTATCTGATGGACTTGTAAATGCGACATTGAATATTTGAAGACGTGATGGAGATTCTGTTCCATAAGAAGACCGCGAGATGGCAGCTGGATGACAGCCTGATCCAAAGTGGTAGCCGACAAGTTCCAACCGGTCAAAAAGCCTAACCGCCATGATCAGAGCTGCTGAATCAACCATTGTGTGTGTTACGTGTGTAAGGAAACAGGACGGAAAGGTAACGAGTGTAAAAGGGAGTGGACGTCGAGTATTTGTCTGATAAATATCATCATATCTTGCTGAACCTGCTTCTAATAGTAGACATTGACTGGACCAGATCACCTGTGAAAATGTAATAAAGAATATAACTGTATGTCGTCTACTCATTACCGTGTGCATTGAGAATGTCATGTATGTCTTTCATATGGAAAACCCCTAGCAACCAGTCAGCACACCAAGGAGAACATTTTCCCACTCTGTATGCTGCAATGATTTGCCATTTATGAATGAATTTGCTTCCATAGGTGCATTATGCTTTAGCTTGGGGCAACTTGCAGCTGTTTGATTTCAACAAGCGACATCTGCGGGACAAGTACAGCCTCTACCTGTGGTCGATGCCTCAAGGAATGGATGACCTGCTGAACCCTATTGGAATCACTGGTAAGGAAAGTCAGGGGCCCTTTTCACACCTTAGACATATGGTGCTGGCTTCATGTTTTCAGATACCACATGGCACCTCATGGGCAATTTGGTCAGTACCACACCAGCCACCTTTAACTTGGGAGGATACTTTTCATGGTAGAATCTTAAATTAAGAATCAACATCACAGCACTCGGGACACTTCCATAAGCGCAACGTTCCTGTCTTCAGCAGCAAGCAGGGAGTTCCAATTCCGATAGTACCAACAACTGTACTTTTCTTGGTAATCATTTTTGACGGGGTTGACTAAGGAGCCCAGGTCAATTTTAAAACGTCCTCTGGGTGCAGATTCTAATCCATGACCACAAGGTTGGCAGACATGCTGTTCAATCTACCGCAGTAACAAAGAATTCTCACATTACAGTTGAACTTTTCTGTAGCAGTCTTACCAGGGGATCTTGCCGATGTTCAACACTCAAGGCAAAGGCCAGACGGATATAGAGTCAGACAGTTACAGGTACCATCGGTATTGGTACTCTTTGCTTGCTGCTGAAGATGGGGTCGAGCTCTATGGGAGTGTCCTGAGTGCTGTGGTGTTGATTCTGAGTTCAACATTCAACATTTGTAGGGGTCTTTGGGTCCCATTTTTGTATAAGAAAATGGGCTCGTTGCTCAGGAACAAGCAGCTGTAATAGGTGGCTAATTAAGTAAAAAAAAAGGTAAAAGGTAAAGTCTAGAGATCTTAACCAGTGTCACTGCACACGGTTATAAACCATAGGTGCTCTACCACTCGTACAGACAGCTGATAAGAAAATTTCCGCCTGTGTCGCCATCCGTACAAAACTTTGTAGCTACAGCGACATTTCTACATTTACCCCAGAGTGTTATTTCTGGTACCCATTACCTAGAGGCTGGGTGAACCCCGGGAACCATGCGGTTTCGAACACCGGCCGTGGGCTGCAAAGAGTCGCAGCTGGATTTAAAAGCAAGTCTCCTATCGACTGCAATAACGTGGCCCCCATATGCATGACATGCTCCTTCTGTTCTTTGAAAAATAATGAAAATGTTATTTCCCCGTGTGGACTGTAGGTGCCCCATTTATTTGGGAGGGGGGGGGGGAGACCTACTGCCCCTCACAGGCATATTGTAAAAGATGACTATTTGGGGAGTTTGCTGCAATAAGATGTGTTGAGCTGAAGGACGCTGATATCACAGCCTTGCTGTAAACTTCATCCCAACAGGCCAGCCAATCCTTAAAGGTGATGAAGAAGATGAAGTTGGTGTAATTTGAAGGCAGTCCTTCACATTCTGTTTTTCTTCATTTTCTCAAATAAAATCTGTCTTTACATTTGCATGCTTTCCTTTAAACCAGTGATTCTCAATCTTCCTATTGCTAAAACCCTTTAATACAGTTCTCCTGGTACAGTGACCCCCAACCGTAAAATTATTTTCATTGCTACTTCATAACTTCAGTGAATATGTGTTTTCTGATGGTCTTGGGCGATCCCTGTGAAATGATAATTTAACTCCCAAATGGGTCGCAACTCACAGATGGAGAACCACTGCATTAAAACAATATTTGAACTTAATCTGAGAGGCAAGGAACCAACATCCTGCATACGAATAAGTCAGATCTGTAAAACCGATGTGCCCACAGCGCTCAGGTTCTGGAGTGAGATTAATGTCCAGAGGTGGACGAAGACCCAGAACTTTCCACCAGAGTATACCACCAGTGAACATGAGGAGGAAGAAAACCTGGTAGTGTGATAGTAAAAGTCAACTCTTTGTCCTGCCGATCGATGGAACAATGGCTATATGGTGGTAGACTTATATTTTTAGAGAATAATCAGCACTTGATGGAGTGTATGGTCAAAAGCACTCCCATGAGTAAAGTCAACAGCACAGCACTTGGGGCATTCCCATATGTGCTCCATCCCCATCTTCAGCAGCCAGCGCAGAGTTCTTTACTTATGGTACCGATTAAAGTCTGATTATAGGTCCGTCTTGCGTTTTCTTTGAGTGTAGTGAGCCGGACAGACCCTCTGGTCATACCCAGGTGCCTCATTTTCTCCAGGCCGTAATAATCTAGTTTCTTTTCTGACTTCATTACTTGTTTCCAAAAGGGCCTTGACCACATCTGCCTTGTCATGTATCAATTCACCACCCAAAGGTGAAGATCCAGCAAGTCTATCTGCCTGTTCATTTCCCACCACGACGGCATGGCATGCCTTGAGTTGTCTGCTACCCATTTAAGGCTGGGTCAGCCTCAGAGCTCCCAGTGTAGGTTCCAGCTCCATTTTTGAGAAGCCAGAATAGACCCCCTTGCCCCCTTTGTGCATCTGCTTAAGATGTATGGAACCAACAGTCGGCATACAACTTGGCCTGAACTGTAAAATGGATTTGCACGCAAAACTCAAGTTCTAGATCAAGACCAGAGCTCCAGAAGTGGATGAACAACCAGAACTTTGGGCCAGAGTCTACAGCAGGTAAACACTAAGACGAAGAAGAAGAAGAGCCTTGTTGCCATGGGTCAGTGTGCAGATTTTAACATCAGACCTTCGGGGCTGGCAGGCAGATATTGTACGGGTTATGTAATTGTGACACTGCTTGATGTATTTCAATATGGTACTAATCAGTGCCATGTCTCCTTCCTTTGCAGGGTCTAACCCCAACAAAGACTGTCCTTGCTTGGAGATTGAGTTTGATCGTTTTTCCCAGCCCTTGTCGTACCCGCCTGACTCCCATTTCACCCAGCTGGCACAGATTGTCATGCTGAAGGACAAACAGAGCAGACTGGTAGGCTGCGAGGCTTTTTTTAGGCAATCATTTGTGAGGGGCAGTTGACGAAATGTTCCAATGTTTTGGATAAACTTCAAGATATCAAGCATGAGGTTGGATGGAGAGGGATGAATCCTTTTAATAAATTGGCGATCCCAGTGGAGGGGATAGAGAAATGGTGAAAAAAGTTTCATATAGAATGTGGGAAATATCATAATTGTCAGTGTATAACATTATTTTTTTTTTTTTAAATTAGTAATTGCCTTAGTAAAAAAAAAAAAAAAAAGTTTGTTAGACCACTAAACCAAAACAAAACAAAATGACTAAAGACAGTTCAAAAATATCTACAAACCTTCATTAACTGGTACCTGCATAGAATAGAAAGAATTAAATGGTATGATTGAATCACAAATATAGAGCTTTGGAAGAGAACTAGTCAAGTTCCAGTGGACCAAGAGGTGAAGAAAAGATGCTGGTGTTGATACACATTGTGAAATCCTGAGAACACTATAAGTAGAATGTCCTTGCACTGGAACCCACAGAGGCATAGAAATATAAGAAGACCAACACACACACACAAAAACATGAAAAAGGAGCTAATGAAGGAAGTTGAAAAGATGGGGTGGACATGGGGAGAGCTGCATGCGATAGCGAATGATAGAATGACTTGTGTGAGTTGCTTGAGGGCCTGTGCTCCACTGTGAGTTAAAAGGCATAAGAAGAAAAAGATGGGTTTTCTTCCAGAAAAATTGTAAGTTTAAAAATTGGAGGTTATTTTATACACATAATTGTTTAGATCCTAAATTGTGAGTTAAACGATGTTCTTAGTTAGTCGTCACGGTTCCAGCATCACAGCAAACGAGCTTGGCCCATAATTGCTGAACCGCCTATGCCAGTGATTCCAGTCACAAACTGAGTCAGATACGCTAGATACTTCAAGTGAATGCTGTAGCCATACAAAGTGTCCTCAGTCAGCAAAACACACACAATTTGATCTGGCAAACCATAAGGTGCATGCCTCCTTAAACACGGCAAGACCAGGCGTCATCGCTAAAATTCAGCTTCATTCGATGAATAGCCGGGCGATGAGTAGATTAAAACTATTCCTGACCATTCTCCACATGTCCTTGGCCAAGTTGCAGCCACAGCCAGCAGATAAATAGCAGCTGTAGCCCACACCTTGTCCTATGAACACAACGAAGAAAAATGCATCACCCATCATTGCTATTGTGTACGAATCTGGAACTCAGTCAAAAATTGATAATCACAGCTCATAGTGCCACCAGGAGCACTAAAGTTAGTAGCTCCGGCTGAAAACCAGACTTCCACAATCTTGCAACATCGAAACTGAAGGAAAATCGGCAACGAGAACGGTCAACTTAAGCCAAGTTTTTCAACTGTCAATCATTCCCTATCAATGTCGGAATCAGAAGTCCCATGTTCTTATGCATAGGGCATGTCTTATACATGGAAAAATACTGTAAGTAAAAGTAAAGCAGGTAATGCCAGAGAAGTGTGAACTGTAAGCTTTGTATATACACATGCTTGATCCCTCCCCCTTCTCAACTTTCTCCACATTGCTAACATTGACAAGAATATTTTGTTCAACTCCAGCCTGACACTGTGACAGAAGCCGAGCTTGAAATGTTAGACGAAATTGCAGAGAAGGATCCACTATCTGACCTGTCTGAACAAGACAAAAGCTTGCTGTGGAAGCTCAGGTAAAAAAAATACAATTATGCTTACATTTACACAGACGGAGAGATAGATAAGTACCTGGGCGAGGAAGTAAGTTGACTTTTATTTATGGATTTTTTCACCAGGGCACACTGGTGTGTTGGGAAATGAACAGGCGGACAGACTGGCTGGCTCTGCACAACTTGGGGGAATACTGATACATGATAAGGCAGGCGTGCCTAGGGCCTTGTGGGAGAGTGTGTACAGTAAGGAGGAGCAGATCACCACAGTCTGGTGAGATTGATGCAGGGGGTTCCGGCAGATGCTTGAGGCTCAAAAGAAAGGCAAGAAGGACGTTTAATCAAAAGGCTACTGGCACCATTTGTATCGGAACTCTTCGCTGGCTGCTGAAAATGGGGACGGAGCGCTTATGGGAATGCCCCAAGTGCTGTGATGTCACTTCTTGAATTGAATCAAATCAATTATGGACCAGATTTCAAGTAGCATATTTACGGTCAACAGATACAGTTTATAAAAGTTTATAAAACTTTGTTGCTACAGTACTTCTTAATCTCTGCTAATACACTGCTGCCTCTTCCTCTTTTTATCTGCAAGTGGAGCATAGGCCACAAACCAACTCCTTTCTTCATCCTTCTCTTTACCATCATGTGCAGCTCAATTTTCATCGTCATTCTTATTCCCTTAGTTCTTTGAGTCCCAAGGAACGCATCAAACATTCATAGGTTACTGCCTAGAAGCCCAATGAACGCATGATGCGCCGATTTTACGTCTCTTTTGACTACCCCTTGGGTCTGTGATGCTTATTCCTCTGGGACTCCAAAAGTTAAGTCTATAAGTCTTCTTCTTTTAAAGAGGGAAAATATAGGGTTTACCACTTGTGAAAAAGCTCATAGGTTTTGACATCTGCCTCTGGCTGTGTAGACTGTTTTTGTTCATGCTATGATCTGTTTTGATACAAATGAGGATAGGTTACTTCCCTTGTTCATGCAGAAGTGAGTTGAACACCCTTCTGAAACAAAACAAAAATAAAACCCTGAAGAATTAATCTGCACTTTAGTTAGTTGTATATGCTTTACAGGACATTGCACACTAAAGTGAGTTGAACACCCTTCTGAAACAAAAACAAAAAAAACCCTGAAGAACTAGTCTGCACTTTGGTTAGTTGTATATGCTTTACAGCATTTATTGGCCGTTTGTGGTTTTACTAAGCAGTTTTGCTTTCTAAACAGTCAGCCCTTCATATCCTTGTCGAAAAGCAAAATGGTCTGCTGCCAAATTTCCTGAGCTGAATGAAACCAGACATTTAGGAATTACATGCCACGTTCATAACTGTTGGAGGAGACCAGAGCCCTAATAGAAATGTCTGTGTGCAATAAAAGATGTCTTATATTTATTTTATTTTTTTTGAAGTGCCATCTCCACTGTGATGTTTGGCTACAGTGAACTCATTGCAAGCTTCTCATCCTTGCCCACATAGGACTACAGGTCCACACCAGGCTGGTGTGGCCGTACCCCTAATTATGACATCTGGGGTCTGCCATCCAGGTTGAGTAAACCTTTAAGTAGAATCCTGGAGGGGACAAATTGGGTGATTGATCGAACCCACTGCTGTCTTTGAAAATATGTGATGAGCCCCCAGTCTCTTCCACGGTGTGACTCTCTTATTACTTTTTGAATATTATTTGATGAGGCCCCAGTCTCTTCCATGGTGTGACTCTCTCATTACTTTCTGAATGTTATGTGATGAAACCCTAATCTCTTCCTCAATACAACTTGTATTATTTCTGAAAATCAAGAGAACAGTGTTTTTGTTTTAAAAAAAATAAAAACATAAACCATTCACAGTGGAAATTGAACCGCGCACTTGAGGATCATGAAATTGTTAAATGCATTAATTAACGTCATAGTTACAAAGTAAAAAAAAAAAAAAAATCACATCGTGCTGAATTTTGCAATTATTACAAACAGTTATATTTTAGAACAGACCCAGTTGGGTTTTAGATATGTAAACTTATATTTTAGAACAAAACCAGTTGGGTTTTAGATATGTAAACTTATATTTTAGAACAAAACCAGTTGGGTTTTAGATATGTAAACTTATATTTTAGAACAGACCCAGTTGGATTTTAGATATGTAAACTTATATTTTAGAACAAAACCAGTTGGATTTTAGATATGTAAACTTATATTTTAGAACAAAACCAGTTGGATTTTAGATATGTAAACTTATATTTTAGAACAAAACCAGTTGGATTTTAGATATGTAAACTTATATTTTAGAACAAAACCAGTTGGGTTTTAGATATGTAAACTTATATTTTAGAACAGACCCAGTTGGGTTTTAGATATGTAAACTTATATTTTAGAACAGACCCAGTTGGGTTTTAGATATGTAAACTTATATTTTAGAACAGACCCAGGTGGGTTTTAGATATGTAAACTTATATTTTAGAACAAAACCAGTTGGATTTTAGATATGTAAACTTATATTTTAGAACAAAACCAGTTGGGTTTTAGATATGTAAACTTATATTTTAGAACAGACCCAGTTGGGTTTTAGATATGTAAACTTATATTTTAGAACAGACCCAGGTGGGTTTTAGATATGTAAACTTATATTTTAGAACAGACCCAGGTGGGTTTTAGATATGTAAACTTATATTTTAGAACAAAACCAGTTGGATTTTAGATATGTAAACTTATATTTTAGAACAAAACCAGTTGGATTTTAGATATGTAAACTTATATTTTAGAACAAAACCAGTTGGATTTTAGATATGTAAACTTATATTTTAGAACAAAACCAGTTGGATTTTAGATATGTAAACTTATATTTTAGAACAAAACCAGTTGGGTTTTAGATATGTAAACTTATATTTTAGAACAAAACCAGTCGGGTTTTAGATATGTAAACTTATATTTTAGAACAAAACCAGTTGGATTTTAGATATGTAAACTTATATTTTAGAACAAAACCAGTTGGATTTTAGATATGTAAACTTATATTTTAGAACAAAACCAGTTGGGTTTTAGATATGTAAACTTATATTTTAGAACAGACCCAGTTGGGTTTTAGATATGTAAACTTATATTTTAGAACAGACCCAGTTGGATTTTAGATATGTAAACTTATATTTTAGAACAAAACCAGTTGGATTTTAGATATGTAAACTTATATTTTAGAACAAAACCAGTCGGGTTTTAGATATGTAAACTTATATTTTAGAACAAAACCAGTCGGGTTTTAGATATGTAAACTTATATTTTAGAACAAAACCAGTCGGGTTTTAGATATGTAAACTTATATTTTAGAACAAAACCAGTCGGGTTTTAGATATGTAAACTTATATTTTGGAACAGAACCAGTTGGGTTTTAGATATGTAAACTTATATTTTAGAACAAAACCAGTTGGGTTTTAGATATGTAAACTTATATTTTGAACAAAACCAGTTGGGTTTTAGATATGTAAACTTATATTTTAGAACAAAACCAGTTGGATTTTAGATATGTAAACTTATATTTTAGAACAAAACCAGTTGGATTTTAGATATGTAAACTTATATTTTAGAACAAAACCAGTTGGATTTTAGATATGTAAACTTATATTTTAGAACAGACCCAGTTGGGTTTTAGATATCTAAACTTATATTTTGGAACAAAACCAGTTGGGTTTTAGATATGTAAACTTATATTTTAGAACAGACCCAGTTTGGTTTTAGATATGTAAACTTATATTTTAGAACAAAACCAATTGGGTTTTAGATATGTAAACTTATATTTTAGAACAAAACCAGTTGGGTTTTAGATATGTAAACTTATATTTTCGATATGTAAACATTGGTTAAATTCAATAAACATTTGTTGCAACCAACAGGGAGAAGTGTCTGACTCGTCCAAGGGCTCTGTCAAAACTACTTTCTGCAGTTCATTGGTGGGATAGAGAAAATGTTGCCCAGGTAAGTGCTTCCAGTCACAGTACAAGATGTCTGAAGGTGAAGCAATTGCCAACAAACTACAAGCATTTATTGCTTGGTGCTTGCACAGAATTTAAGATGTGAAAGTTTCACCAATGAAAGTTGATGATATGAACTTAAAAAAAGTTTGTTGTGTGTCCTTTACAGGAAGTTTCAGAAACAACCCCTGCATTTGTGGGCTGTCTGTGTTTTTTTTTTTAAAGGTAATTTTAAGTTATGTAGTTAACCATTCGACGGCTAAGTCTGTGCGAACGCTTCGTAATGCCGGAGTGCCCGGTTCGATCCCAGCTGCGGGCCATGCGCCTTGCGTTGGTTTCGACAGTGGTATCAAAGAAGCCAACCGTCAGAAAGCAATGGCAAACTGCTGGACGTAAATTTGCCTAGAAAAACCATACGACAGCCAGGGGCTGTTGCGGTTGGTTCTCCAATGTCCTGTAAAGGATACGCAACTTTAAAAAAAAAAAATTCACCATTACTTTTGAACTGTCGGCTCTCGATAACACTGTCAAAACCAAAGCAATTTAGTCTGTATGAATTTGGTAATCTTAGTTTCAGCTTCATAGCAGTTGCTCTGCTCCTGTGCCAACGAAAAACACACAGAATGTTTATCACAGTCCCTTGCGGAGAGATTGACAGACTGCTGTCTCAGCATATGCACTAGCATACACACGCATTAAAAGCATATGGTAGCCATCCGAAGTGCTAACACAACAGTCTGAGATAAGAAATGCAGTTCATCATCGATGGTAGCAGAAGTCACCAACAGATCAGTACACGCAATCAATTTTAATCACTTAATGGCACCACCAAAATTGCGACAACAGGCATCACGCCATTTTCTGAATTTTCAATTCACACCATCACGTTGGTCACAGTTGAAAAACATTCCAAATGAAATCCGCAGCTCACAGTGTCAGCCATGCATTCAACTCAGAAGCTGGGCGATGAAACTATATCCTGTATATTTCAGTCTACAAATGGAGCAAAAATGCAACGGCCACCCTCTGGCAGAAGCAAAAAATTTGCCACGACTCAAAACCGTGCCTAGCGTCCATTTTGACCAGAATATATGAACTAAGCAACTAAGATGCTGAGGCTCAACAGTTGATAGATGACAACTCTAGGCCAGGAGATGTGATTATATACACTGATGGGTATATTGCCAGGGGCAGAACAAGTGGGTGGGGCTTCGTTGTCAATGCATGGGGGGAGAAGGATAACTGAATAGAGCTTGGCATTTGACTTTACCTCATCCAGCATGAGAATGGAAGTTGAGGCGTAACTGTAATGTTCCAGTGGGTGGAAAAAAATATCAGTCACACATTGTTGTCAGATTCTTAAATCATGCTCAAGAAGGTAGAGTCAGGCTTTTTCGTATGGAATGGATTACATCAATCCAGAGGTTACAGGGGGTGAGAACTCACATGGATATTTTGCCAGGTCTATTCAGGTGTGTTTGGGAATGAGCAGGCAGATAGGCTGGCTTGAATGGCCCCATTTGGGGGTGTACTGCAGCTGCACTAGATAGAGATAACACACTTGGAGTCAACTGGGAAGAGAAGAATGGTCACAGAGATGAATTGAGGCAGGCGATATCTGCAGCAGTGAACCTCAGTCGCTGAGAATGCAGAAGAAAAAGAAAAAGGATGAAAGAATGAACAATGAGCTTGCTGACAAGCAGTTGAAGAGAGGGACCAGGGTGATATACTGAATGCTGTCAGAGAGGCAGGGCAGTTAAAAAAGAATCAAGTAAAGGTTGCACGTCAAGAGCCTTGACTAGATTGCAAGAACAACAAATGAAAGAAGTGAAACCAGATTAAAATACTGTGCAAGAGACCAACAAAGAAGAGTAAATACAGAACTGTATTATAAGTTGCCACACACTGAGAAATGTCCGGAGGAGATCCAAGCAGTTATATAGTCATCTTCTTCTTCACATCCACCGGCTGTAAACTCTGGCGGAAAGTTCTGGTTGTTCGTCCCTTTCTGGACCTTGTCTTTTTCCAGAACCCGAGTGTTGCATGTGCATCCGTTTTACACATATGACTCATTTGCATGCAGCTGTTGGTTTCTCGCCTCTGAGGCAGGTGCACTTCTACTTCGAAGGAAGCTCCCAATAAGTCGACTCTTACGACATGCTTTTGGGTAGGCAGTGGGTCTATTCTTGTTTTCCCTACAATAGGGCCCCGGAGCCCACAAGAAGATGTTATGGAGTGAATTGTTAAATGATCAGTGAAGGTGATCTTTTGGCTAACTTCTGTGTTTGAATTCTTTCAGCTGTACGTGTTGCTGAAGTCCTGGCCAATTATACCAGCGGAGATTGCTTTAGAATTGCTAGATTGCTCTTACACAGATCTGCATGTACGAGAATTTGCTGTCAGGTGTTTGGACAAAGGACTTCAGGATGACAAACTGGCACAGTACTTACTGCAGTTGGTGCAGGTATGTAATTGACGTAATCATAAATCCATTATGGGAGATGAATGGTCGTAGACCATGAGGCAGACCAAGAAGATTATAGAGAGATAATATCCAGACAGACCTGCAAACACTTGGTGTCACCAGCTGGAAAGAGAAGGCCAACCAGAGAGAAGGATGGAAGAGTGTGATATCTGCAACCTCAAGGGCTCGGAATGCTGAAGAAGAAGAAGATAAATTCATTATGTAAGGTAGCACACACATCGATTGTCTCACCTTGGATCAGGAACATATTAGGATTCTGAGGATTCTCTGCCCAGGATATTCTGGTGTGCTGCAGAGTAATAAGCAGGCTGATAGACTGGCCTCTGCTGCCCCTCTGTAATGTTGAATTATGATTCGACATCACAGTACTGTGGACACTCCCACAAGTGCTCCGTCCCTATCTCCAGCAGCAAGCGAAGAGTTCCAATTCTCATGGCACCAGTAACTGTCTGATTGTATATCCGTCTTGCCTTTCCCTTGAGTGTTGAGCGCTGTCCAGATCCCCTGGCAACTCCTCGCAGTGCCTTTCTTGAGTCTGCTAAACCAAGGCAGTATGCGAAATTTGTTACCATTTCCTCTTGCTATTTAAATGTGACTGAGCACCTTTAGGCTTGCATGTAGTGTGTTTCCAAGAAAAGTATACTGTTATCAATGTATATTCTTGAACTTTTAAACTTCGCCTCATATTTGTAAAAAGTTCCTTATGTATTCTGTGTATCACACTGAAAGATGAGTGTAGAGCTTCTTTCCTAGATTTTCTGCCCTGGATATTCTGGAGTTTAGGGTAATGAGCCAGGCCAGTTATTTTAGTAACAAGCAAATCTATAACACAGTTTGACATCTTCAGACATGTAATCAAGTTCAGTCAGTCAGTATGTCCTTTACAGAACGCTGCTCGCAGCACGCCTGAAAGTCTCTCTTTCTCTAGCCAATTCTCCAGCATTATATGCTTTCTTAGCCAATCCATCTTTAGTATCCTGTATCCTCTTCACACAGGTCGACCCAGAAACTGCACTCTCTGTCACAGTTCTGTGCAGACCACCATGGTGCTTGACCTGTCCAAAATACCTCAGCTTTCGGGAGAGGATGCTGTTTATGAGTCAATTCTCCTTGATGTTCAGGTTGTGCAGAATGTCAACATTTTTCTTCTGGTCCACGGTATTCTAAGAATTGTTCTGTAGCATTTCAGTTCAAAAGCTCGGATTTTCTTTTTCAAAGACTGAGTGAAAGTCCACGACTCACATCCTTAAGTTGCTGTGGGTAAAATACATGTAGAAGTTGATAGTCTTGAGTTGAGCTCTTCCCATAATTCTGTAGTAAACTGTCATCATTATGTATTCTTAAACTTCCAAACTTCACTAAATATTTTTAGATCAAGTTCATTGTGGATTCTGTATATCACGTACATAATAATAAGCCAGGACGTGAGCAAGACATAGAGCTGAAAGAAGTGCTTTAGCTCAGATGCTGCTTGCCATACAGAGTGGCACAGATATATAATCAGACTACTGCTGGTAGTGTCAGAATTAGAACGCTGTACTGGCTGCTGGAGATGGGGATGGAGCACTTATGTAATTGTCCTAAATGCTGTTGTCAGTTCTTAATTGAACTCATCTCAGCTCAGACTATCAAACTTTATTATGTATTTGTAGACTATATTGAACTTAAATATATATTTGACGACTGTCAAGCTGTGTTATATATTGGTGTGTTATCAAAATGTTGTCTTTGAATATTTGCAGGCTATCAAGTATGAACCCTACCATGACAACCCAATAACTCGATTTCTGCTCAAAAGGAGTCTTCTCAGTCAGAGAATTGGCACTATGTTTTTCTGGCATCTCAAGTAAGTTGTCGTCATCGTTGGCACCCTTTCATCTTTCAAGATGAAAGTGTTTCATTGTAGTATAGGAAGGCATGAGAATCTCACCCCATAGCAATGCCTTCTAAGGCCAGGGATGAAGTTCCTCCTTTCCATAGCCCAAAACCTGGGCAGTATGTGTTGTCCATACAGCATGGTCCATCTCTTAGCCTGCTTTGTTTACTCCAAAGGAAATGTAACACCACTATGTTTGAAGCAAAACAGTCTACAGAAGCTGGCGGATCAGAAGAACAGTGCTGTATCCACCTATCGGAGCTTTTCGTCCTAGACCAGCTGCCAACCAAGTCTAAGGGTCTGATCTGTCTGCTATAACATTAAATTTTAGGTCGCATTTCCTTGTCCTAGACCTGTATCCTCCCCAATGTACTCTTCTGCCTGAATCCATTAGAACAGTTGGGATATCAGGTTTGGTTTATGACACCCAACATAAGAAGGTAACAGAGAACCAGGACTACAGACTACAGTTGTGTGGTAGCTCAGTTATAACTGACCCAGATCAAGTATGTAATTGTTTGCATCCCTTTACCTGAACCATTGGGAGATGCAGCAGTGCATTGACTAGATGCTTGCCTGTCGGTTTGAAGGTCTTGGGTTCGAATTGACATCGAGACAGATTTTGTATAAATGACCTTGGTTTAGAGGCCACCAGCCTAAAATAAATACTGGCAAGTGAAGTCAGCCGGCGTAATATTTACCCCATCACTCATTGAATGCTGAACTCATTCAATGCCAAACTCACTGAATGCTGAGTGGCTATAAAATTTGAATCTGTCATTTTGTATGAAAGGGGAAGATAGGGTGAAAGAAACGGTATATGAATATTTGCTAAGGCTTGTTAAAAGGCACATAAATATTCATTGAGTGCAGTTTGATATATGTTGTTAACAGTTATGAATGTGAGATATGTCTCAGCAAAAATTAGAAATGTGAGTGACATTCGACCCCACAACAAGCGATTAACTCCCAGTGACAGACAGTGCCTGGGTTTAAGTGCACAGTGCAAAGAAACAGACCAGTATCCAGACACTAAAAGTCTAATTCTTCAGGGAGTAGGCAGAAGCCCTGGGTGGTTTCAGTACTTCAGGGAGTAGGTAGAGGGCCTGGGTGGTTTCAGTAGTTCAGGGAGTGGGTAGAAGGCCTAGGTGGTTTCAGTACTTTATGGAGTAGTTAGAGGGCCTGGGTGGTTTCAGTACTTCAGGGAGTAGGTAGAGGGCCTGGGTGGTTTCAGTACTTCAGGGAGTAGGTAGAGGGCCTGGGTGGTTTCAGTACTTCAGGGAGTAGGTAGAGGGCCTGGGTGGTTTCAGTACTTCATGGAGTAGTTAGAGGGCCTAGGTGGTTTCAATACTTCAGGGAGTAGATAGAGAGCCTAGGTGGTTTCAATACTTCAGGGAGTAGATAGAGAGCCTAGGTAGTTTCAGTAATTCAGGGTGTCGGTAGAGGGCCTAGGTGGTTTCAATACTTCAGGGAGTAGATAGAGAGCCTAGGTGGTTTCAGTACTTCAGGGAGTAGGTAGAGAGCCTAGGTGGTTTCAGTACTTTAGGGAGTAGGTAGAGGGCCTGAGTGGTTTCATTACTTTAGTGAGTAGGTAGAGGGCCTAGGTGGTTTCAGTACTTTAGGGAGTAGGTAGAGGGCCTATGTGGTTTCAGTAATTCAGGGTGTCGGTAGAGGGCCTAGGTGGTTTCAGTACTTCAGGGAGTAGGAAGAGAGCCTAGATGGTTTCAGTACTTCAGGGAGTAGTTAGAGGGCCTGGGTGGTTTCAGTACTTCAGGGAGTAATTAGAGGGCCTAGGTAGTTTCAGTAATTCAGGGAGTAATTAGAGGGCCTATGTGGTTTCAGTACTTTATGAAGTAGGTAGAGGGCCTAGGTGGTTTCAGTACTTCAGGGAGTAAGTAGAGGGCATAGGTGGTTTCAATACTTCAGGGAGTAGGTAGAGGGCCTTGGTGGTTTCAGTACTTCAGGGAGTAGGTAGAGGGGCTGGGTGGTTTCAGTAATTCAGGGAGTAGGTAGAGGGCCTGGGTGGTTTCAGTAATTCAGGGAGTAGGTAGAGGGCCTAGGTGGTTTTAGTACTTCAGGGAGAAGGTTAAGGGCCTGGGTGGTTTTAGTACTTTATGGAATATGTAGAGGGCCTAGCTGGTTTCAGTACTTCAGGGATTAGGTAGAGGGCCTGGGTGGTTTCAATACTTCAGGGAGTAGGCAGATGGTCTGAGTGATTTTAGCACGCAGGGGAAAAAGGTGTTTTAATCAGGTTGCAGCTGGTACCACCAGGATTGGTACTCTTCGCTTGCTACTGAAGAAGTGGACGAAGCACTTGTGGGAATGCACTGAAAAACCTTGTTCAACCATAAGGTTCTATTAGGGCCCTTGATGATGGTTATGAAGTAACCTGAAGTCCAGCTGGGGGTGGAGCTTTAAAATTTTAAAAATTGTGTCCCATACTGGGGGCAGTTTGATATGACTGGATTTAGAAATGTAATTATGAAACTGACTGTCTAACGTTAACCCCACCAGGACATCACATCCAGTGATAAACATCCTGTGACACAATGTGCCACAGTTCGGATAATGATCACCCGGGGACAGGTCTCAAAAACCCCCTTCAGCCCATAGGTTGGGTTATATTAGGGCCCCCGGCAACAGCTGAGATGGAGCTTTGAAACAAAACAAACATTTGAGTTGAGACGCAATATTGCGACTTTTCAATAAATAGTGAAACATTTGTATATGAAGTTTTTTTTTTTTATGTTATTTAAATTGGTTATGTGGAATGTGTTTGTTAAACAAGTTGTATGGGGAAATATATTTGTAATAAAATATTTTAAATAAAACTATTTTTATATGAAGTATGCTAGTTTAAAACATGTTAACATGAAGACTGTTTTGTTGTTGTTATTACAGCAAAATGTGTTGTTTTTTAAAAATCACTTGAAGTTGGTAAACATTGGTTTTGTAAACATCAGTTAATGTGTTTGTTTTATTCAAATAAATTATTTTATTGTTGCAGTTATTTCAACTTTTATTGTAAAATTGTAAACACAACCTCATGCTGTTTCATTATCAGGTCAGAAATGCACCAGACATCAATACGTCTCAGATTCGGACTGATTCTGGAGGCCTATTGTCGAGGATGTGGTCCTTATTTGAAAAATCTGGCCAAGCAAGTTGAAGCATTAGATAAATTGACCAAACTTTCAGACATGCTGAAGCATGAGATTACTAGTGTAAGTTGTCACATCATGTTTGTTATTTACTTTATTGAATTTCCAACTTCATAGCAAATTGGTCCTTTTTTTCCACCAAAATAAGTCCCAGGACCCACACTGGAAAAATTATTACTTGAAAGTATTAGTTCTGGTTATCACATTATAATTTAAATCAGGTGACATCTGCACAGTGAAGGCTGGCTGCAGTAAATCTTCAACATGCTGTCTCTTTTGCCTTGATTTTAAACTCTTGCAGTCTGCTGTTTGTCACTCTGCTATTGCCCATCTGCCATCTCCCTCCCCCTCCCCCTTTTTCCACTTTTTATGTTATGTCTTTTAAACTTAAGAGATATAAAAAAAGATATATGCAGAACAGTCGTCCTACAATGAAATGCATAAACATTTTTACAGAAGCTGGTTTTTTTTTAAACATAACATTTATTTTATTACGTAACATATTCAGCCATATTTAGATCATATTATAGTAGCTATGTGTTGTGTTGTGGTTATGAAAAGTCATCTGGGCGCTAATGGGAATCAGTTTGAGCACCTGCAGTTACCTCATACATCACATGTAACTTGTATGCATTTCTTTGTCTCAGTAAATATAGTGTCAAAATGTTTATACATATTGTTATTTTAAAAACTCCTTGCAGTGCATTACTGCCATAATATATTCAAAAGACCGTCGAATGTAAATACATTTCGCTGCAGGGTAATTATTGTGTATTCATTAAGGTGGCTGAATATGTTTTGTAGGACTATGATGTGTAGATGTGTATGGTCACAGGTGAGTGGCACCCTTTAAATGCCATGAGGACAATGGTCATAGAACACTGATTTTTACAGGTCAGTTGGCACGATGGGTGAAATGATCAACACCTTGCCAATCTTCTTTACTTTCCAGAATGTTTCGTTGTACTGTAGATGTCTGAGTTGCTCTTGTTTTAGGATGAACATATGAATGTTCTGTGTGCCTTCTTTTGTGTTTTATGTTGACATCTGGGTTGCTCTTGTTTCAGGAAGCAAGGAACATATGAATATGATGTCTTTCTTGTATGCTTTATGTTGACATCTGAGTTGCTCTTGTTTCAGGAAGCGAGGAACATATGAATATGATGTCTTTCTTGTATGCTTTATGTTGACATCTGAGTTGCTCTTGTTTCAGGAAGCGAGGAACATATGAATATGATGTGTCCGTCTTGTATGCTTTATGTTGACATCTGAGTTGCTCTTGTTTCAGGAAGCGAGGAACATATGAATATGATGTGTCTTTTTTGTATGCTTTATGTTGATATCTGAGTTCTTGTTTTAGAGTGAGAGGAAAATGTAAATGTGATGTGTGTTTTCAGTTGACATCTGAGTTGCTGTTATTTCAGGATGAACACATGAAGTATCTGCACATGCAGCTTCAGCAGCCTGATTACAAGGAGGTCTTGCAAGGTCTTCACAGTCCACTGAATATTTCTCATGTGCTAGGGGACATCTGGTGAGAAACTGTACTCTTGTGTGTTGAGAACACAGGGCTGTCTCCGTTTACACACAGCTAGAATCAAGTCTGACCATTTACACACAACTAAAATCAAGTCTGACCATTTACACACAACTAAAATCAAGTCTGACCATTTACACACAACTAAAATCAAGTCTGACCATTTACACACAACTAGAATCAAGTCTAGCCATTTACACACAACTAGAATCAAGTCTGACTATTTACACACAACTAGAATCAAGTCTAGCCATTTACACACAACTAGAATCAAGTCTGACCATTTACACACAACTAGAATCAAGTCTGACCATTTACACACAACTAGAATCAAGTCTAGCCATTTACACACAACTAGAATCAAGTCTGACTATTTACACACAACTAGAATCAAGTCTAGCCATTTACACACAACTAAAATCAAGTCTGACCATTTTCACACAACTAGAATCAAATCTGACTGCTAACACATAACTCGAATTTAAGATTACCTATTAGCATTATTATAATACTTGACAGTGTCCATTCACACATAGCTTGAATTCAGGTCTCCCAATTAGTATTATTATAATACTTGACTGTCCATTTACACATAACTAAAATTTAAGACTACCCATTAGCATTATTTTAATACTTGACAGTGTCCATTCACACATAGCTTGAATTCAGGTCTCCCAATTAGTATTATTATAATACTTGACTGTCCATTTACACATAACTAGAATTCAAGACTCCCCATTAGCATTATTATAATACTTGACAGTGTCCATTTACACATAACTAAAATTCAAGACTCCCCATTAGCATTATTATAATACTTGACTGTTTCCATTTACAGAAAACTAGAATTCAAGACTCCCCATTAGCATTATTATAATACTTCAAAGTGTCCATTTACACAGAACTAGAATTCAAGACTACCCATCAGCATTATTATAATACTTGACTGTTTCCATTTACACAGAACTAGAATTCAAGACTCCCCATCAGCATTATTATAATACTTCAAAGTGTCCATTTACACATATCTAGAATTCAAGACTCCCCATTAGCATTATTATAATACTTGACTGTGTCCATTTACACATAACTAGAATTCAAGACTACCCATCAGCATTATTATAATACTTGACTGTGTCCATTTACACATAACTAGAATTCAAGACTACCCATCAGCATTATTATAATACTTGACTGTGTCCATTTACACAGAACTAGAAAAACAAGTTGAAGGCCTTTATTTACATATACATAAAAGTACAGGAGTGCTTGTTGAATTTTGTTTTGAGAATCACAACACTTGGGACATTCCTATAAGCACTCTGTCCTCATCTTCAGCATCAAGCACAGAGTACCAGTTCTGGTGGCACCAGTAGGAGTGTATGTGTTTATACATTATTAAAATCCATTTTGAACGTAACTAGAGTATAATAGTGACAATATTTATGCTTTTCAAGAATACATACGCACTTGCATACACAATTGATCTTCACTGATCCCTATGACAGAGAGGAGTAACTAAATAAAATATACCATGAACAATTGATATTTTATAATCGTTATTATTATAATTCATTAAAAAACACAGTGGAAATTTCCACGTTTGGATAAAGTGAATAGTTTTTTCCTGATTTTATGTATTTTATTTTCATGTGTAATTGCTAGAACTGACTCCAAATAGACCACAAGGTTGACCAAGAAAGTGTAAAGAAATAAAATAAAGATAGGCCTACAAATATTTGCAGCCACTAACTGGAAAGAGAAGGCTAGTCATATAGATTGGTGATATTTGCAGCAGTAAACCTCAAAAACCATTACTAAACTACATCAAGAAGCAACGGATCAGATGGTTTAGATGTATGTCACCACTACCACCAGCAACACATCAGATGGTTTAGATGTGTGTCACCACTACCACCAGCAACACATCAGATGGTTTAGATGTGTGTCACCACTACCACCAGCAACGGATCAGATGGTTTAGATGTGTGTCGCCACTACCACCAGCAACGGATCAGAGGGTTTAGATGTGTGTCACCACTACCACCAGCAACACATCAGATGGTTTAGATGTGTGTCACCCCTACCACCAGCAACACATCAGATGGTTTAGATGTGTGTCACCCCTACCACCAGCAACACATCAGATGGTTTAGATGTGTGTCACCCCTACCACCAGCAACACATCAGATGGTTTAGATGTGTGTCACCCCTACCACCAGCAACGGATCAGATGGTTTAGATGTGTGTCACCACTACCACCAGCAACGGATCAGATGGTTTAGATGTGTGTCACCACTACCACCAGCAACGGATCAGATGGTTTAGATGTGTGTCACCACTACCACCAGCAACGGATCAGATGGTTTAGATGTGTGTCACCACTACCACCAGACAGTGCACTACAGAGAGCCCTGTCACTTAGACACAATGGAAACAGATGTAGAGGTTGACCATGCAAGTCATAGATAGATGGAATATCCAAGGCTGTAAATACCAGTATTTATGTAGCACATACAAAGGCTGGCACCCAATGCCTCTTTGAAACCTGATGCTGAAAGACAAAACAAGACTAGAGAAGGAGAACCTTGACTTGAAGGCTGAAGAAGAAGAAGATTTGTTCGAGTAAATATAAGTGTCGAAAATCTCTTCAAATGTAGCTACATACTTTTGGTTTTATGTGGCTCTATAGGCCAGCATTGTCTTTACATAAATAATATTGAGAGGTAGTTATTGTTTTAGTATAAAAGCATAACAACATCAGAATGCAGGGCAGGAGAACAATCCAGGAAAATAAAAATGGCTGAGCTAAATCAAAGAGACGTCTGCATTTCTGCAGGGCTTTATTTACATCACAAGCTGTAGTACAAAAGAATTTGTTTTGATGAAATGTCAGCCCACCTGGAAAATTAGCAGTTTTGCTCTAAGAAATTTACATGTAAGTTTTGCGAGTCCGACTCGTAAGCCAGCATACCGCGATCGAAACCCACTGCAGGCTGCGTGGATTTTTGTCGTGGTATGGGACGTCGCAGGTCGACCCAGCCTAAAATGGGTACCAGGATGGGCTGTCCTGGGACAGTAAAGACAGCCGGCGTAATGCTGACCACATTACCCACAGAGTGCTGATGGTCTGTAAAAATATGGAACGCTCTGCCCATATGCCCGATGCGCCGAAAAGCGTGAAAAGGGAACTTTACTTTTTTCTTTACATGTAAGTTACTCGCTTGTTTTTAAAGTCCAAACTTTGTTGTCAGTTTTGTGTATGGTTCTCTTCTCATGTTTATAGTCTGGAAGAGTGTTCAGTGAAAACCAGCAAGAAGCTGCCCCTCTGGTTGGTGTGGTCTAACCCTGATGCCATGGCGGATATCGGGGATCAGTTCTACAGCATCATGTTCAAGAATGGAGATGGTAAGTGACCCCACATGTCACAGTGGATAGGAATGTACTTGCTGTGACCTAGCCATGTCTAGCTGTCTACTGTTGTTCTACATAGAAAATTAATTTGTTTTGCTGACAGTTTTTATTATTTATTTACATTTCTGAGAGAGATTCTGACATGTTTATGTAGCAGTGACTGAGATTGTGACATGTTTATGTAGCAGTGACAGATTCTGACATGTTTATGTAGCAGTGACTGAGATTTTGACATGTTTATGTAGCAGTGATTGAGATTCTAGCATGTTTATGTAGCAGTGACTGAGATTGTGACATGTTTATGTAGCAGTGACTGAGATTGTGACATGTTTATGTAGCAGTGACTGAGATTGTGACATGTTTATGTAGCAGTGACTGAGATTATGACATGTTTATGTAGCAGTGACTGAGATTCTGACATGTTTATGTAGCAGTGATTGAGATTGTGACATGTTTATGTAGCAGTGATTGAGATTCTGACATGTTTATGTAGCAGTGACAGATTCTGACATGTTTATTTAGCAGTGACTGAGATTGTGACATGTTTATGTAGCAGTGACTGAGATTGTGACATGTTTATGTAGCAGTGATTGAGATTCTGACATGTTTATGTAGCAGTGACTGAGATTCTGACATGTTTATGTAGCAGTGACTGAGATTCTGACATGTTTATGTAGCAGTGATTGAGATTCTGACATGTTTATGTAGCAGTGACTGAGATTGTGAAATGTTTATGTAGCAGTGACTGAGATTCTGACATGTTTATGTAACAGTGATTGAGATTGTGACATGTTTATGTAGCAGTGACTTTTTGGTAATTATCATTTATTGGCTATGAAATAGTATTTAAAAAAATCACTGTGTTCTCAGATTTACGGCAGGATATGCTGACGCTTCAAGTTATTCGCTTGATGGATACAATCTGGAAGAACGAAGGGTTGGACTTAAGGTCAGGCACCCATCTCACATAATTTTTGTGTAGATATTCATATTGTATATATTGTTTCCAGGTTTGTGGATGTGATAAGCATAATAGAGGCCCTGTATAAGATAATGCTGTATTATTGTTTATGGTGTTGGTTGTTTTCTTGGTCAGACCATTTGTCTTAAGTTCTTCATTTATCTGAAGATGTAATTGTGTTGTACATGTTTATAGCACGGCTATATTTGCACTTTTTTCTCATCATATCTTACTTCTTCAGGAATATGGTGCTCAAATGAGACTTCCTAGGCCTTGTGGTCTCAAAGTTTTGAGTTTTTCAAGAACTAAGATGTTTGATTCGTAGGTTCAATTTTTGGAGAGATCTTTGTAAATTGTCTCTGGTGCTCTAGAGGCTAAGTTTAGTGTGATGTTCTCTTTTCAGTAGTGACACCAAGTGTTTGTAGGTCTGTCTGGATATTCTCTCTCCATCCTCTTCCTCACTAAATCCTGGATTATTTGCAGAAAATTCTTTCAATAATTATTAACGAATCAAGATTCAAGAGATACCCTATTTAATAACATATTAAATTTTAGCGATCACAAAGAGTAAACACGATAACTGTCAGGCCAAGTTAGTCCCAAAATGACCAAATTAGGTTAGTCTAACTCTGTTATGATTGGGCTATTTTGACCACATAATTAAGCTAATTCAGTCATGTTGTGGATTATTTCAGCACTGTAACAACTCATTTTCTCATTCGCTGGTAAATTGTCTCATTACTTGCACTTAGAATGCACATAATTATTGGACTAATTCAGCCCTTTGAAGGATTGATTAATTTGATCTCGTAATGGATAATTCTATCCCATAATTATTATACAGATTCAGTATGTTTTGAATTTAATCAGGCCTGAAATGGTTAGTGGAAGTCGCCGTGGTGTAGCGGCTAGACGCTTTTGTGTGGATCGGAAGGTCATGGGTTCGGGCTCTGACGGAGCTGGACTTTCTTGATAAAGGACCTTGACTTCCATGTCGACCCAGCCTTGAGTGGGTACCAGTTGCAGCCCTGTGAAGTAAAGGCGGCCGGCAGGATGCTGACCACATCATCCACCAAGTGCCCATTGGTCTATACAAAATATAGGTCTAGCCCTATATGCCCAGTACAACTAAAGGTGTGGTAAAGGGACCTTTACTTTACTTTTAAAATGATTAGTGTAAAAAATAAGGGTAGCTGCAGTTGAGTCGATATCAAGAAATGAATCAACACAGACTTTACCTAGCCCAACTCAGTGAAAGGGTTATATCTGCGACTGTCTTTTCCTTCTATTCGTTAGGCTTCCTAGTCATAGTTTATGTTCAGTTAATTAATTTTGACTTCCGTTTTAAAAATAGCAACAAGCGGGTGTGATTGCTGTTCACTGGCTATAAATTTTTTTTCCATATCATTGTGTTCTCTTGTTGTGAACTGCTATTTTGTGCATGATTCCAACACAGGATATATTATGTTTTATTCTGTGCGTCTATGTGTGTGGTTGTGTTGGAGTAGTGTGTATTATATTTGTACTTTCGGAGAAGAAGAATGGCTGATAAGATATCTCAGCCTCAACTGGCACCCAGTGGTCACAGTGTTTTAACTGCAGCTGTCTACTCTCTGGTCGACCAATACATAGCTGTGCCACCATCACAGGGTTATGCAAATATATACTGTTCAAAGAAAGAAAAGCATTGTCGTCCAATGGCGCATGTTTATTAGTTGATGGGAAAGCCTGAACACCTAAAAATTATTGATAACCCAGATGCAGAAAAACTTCATTGGTTGAACCCCAACGTATTCTTATGTGCAATTTGAACATTTTCACTGATTAGATTACAAGGATTTTGAGTGTCGAAATTATGTTTGTTTCTGTAGCTATGCATTTCTTTTATTAGTAAAGCACCATTTCATATTTTGAAGAGTGTCTTCTTCTTTTTTCTGCCTTCTAACCCCAAATGGGGCATAGGTCTTCAACCAACTCATGTCAAATTCTATCTTTCGCTATTGCATACAGCTCTCTCCATGTCCTCCCCATCCACACAACAGCCAGGGGCTGCTGGGGTTGTTTCTGCAATGTCCTGTAAAGAATACGCCAACTAACCATAAAATAATACCTAATGTGTTGTTGCATATGGAGTTGAGTCAAGAAACGGCATCACAGCACTCTGGGCACTCCCATGTGTGCTCCGTTCTCATCTTCAGCAGCCAGCGCAGAGTTCCACTACTGATGGTACCTGTCACAATCTGGTTTTATGTCCATCTTGCCTTTTCTCTGAGAATAGTGAGCCGGTAAGACACTATGCATATGGAAAAAGTGCATGTGGAAAAATGGGAAGGGGTGAGATAATAACTGTCACAAAATTACAAATGCTTAGGTGGTAACTATAAAAGAAAATGTTAGATGTTAGAAACAAACTTGATTGGCTGCTTTGCTGCTGTGTAAATATTTTGTGCATTTGACTACAGGATGATACCCTACGGCTGTTTGTCAACTGGCAAGGACGTGGGTGTCATTGAGATTGTGAAAAATGCAAAAACAATCACAGCAATCCAGTCCCAAGGTGGGGCCCTGTCGTCTATTCAGATTGATTCCTCGCAGCTGCACAAGTGGATCCGGGAAAAGAACCCAGATAGGTGAGTGTGTGTCCTGTCGGGCTGTTTAGCTACAAGTCTGAATGGTCAGGCTTTCATTAACTCTTCATTACCAGCAGTTAGTTTGACTCTCTTTCTCTAATAATCTAATAAGTTAGACTTACAATTTAGATAGAATTAGTTAGTTAGTGAGTTAGTTAATCGTTAGTTGGTTGGTTAGTTGGGTTATCATCATTGTACTCTGGACATGTCCATAGGCGCTCAGATCCTCTCCTCAGTATGTACCCCAGCATCCGGTGGCTAAAAGTACTCCTTCTATGTTGATTAACAGGTCCTCTGATGTTTCTGGTATGCCTCTCATTTTTTGCAATGCCAGTCTTAACTCCCAGATGTATCATTCTGGCGAGTGATGTGGATTCACTGCCCCCAAAGTCCTCCACCCTTCCCATAAATAGATAAAATATGTTAGGGTAACAAGTGTTTGCACTAGAAGAAATTCAACAAATAATAATTTTCTCTGTGGCTAGTAAATGAACATATGGCGAGTTTCTTGGTTCAGAAACTGTTTAATATATTTCGATTTGCACTTGTATTGAACAAGATAAGTCGGAGATGCACTGGGTTGAAGTGCACCTGCTAGCCTACTGTTCATACGTTCAACTTCCCTTTGATACTGGGTTTATTTTTTTTTTTAAAGAAAAAAAAAGATTGATTTGGTTCCTGGTCACTTTTTTGTGTGTCAGTATCGGAAGGGAAAAGAGAACACTGAAGACCAAGCAGACCCTGACTAGAACCGCCGTCACCAGGGAAGGCTCAACCATGGGCCTAACAAACATTCAAGCGTTAAAACAGGTGACAGTGAACCGCCAGACATGAAGAGCTATAACCTCTGCTCTATGCGCTGCCCTAGGCTCAAGAGGAAAGACTAACTAACTAACTAATATCTGTGTTGTGCCGGTAGGCGTTGCAGTTTGACACATGAGAGGTAGCTGAACTAGGATGCGCTTAGTTGCTTGGTATGCTGAAGTCTTTGGCTGTCAGTGACTGCTTTGTCTCAGCTTCTTCAAGGTCTCTGTCTGCCTCTTGATGTTTCCATTTTCATGTTGTGTACTGTCTGCATCATTGAATACATTGCCACTGGGTAGCTGAACCATTTCAGTCTTTGTTTTCTGAATTCATTGGTCGCTCCAGCCAGAAATGAGAACTGAGAAATGTTAATGGAAGTAAAGGTGGGTGGTGTGGTGTTGACCATATTATCCATTTAATGCCTATTGGCCTTTAAAAAATATTTGGCCATCACCCTCTGTCCCATATGGCTGTAAGATGGGGGAAAAGAATCTTTAAGCTTTTGCTGATCAAGATTTGAGATATCTGTTGGCTAGAAGAAATGCGGTTTCTGTGGGAAATGTGAATGGAGGTGGAAGCAGTCACTGCTGCCTTCTGCTGGATTGAGAATCAGCTGTACACACGTTATAACTATAACTGACTCACAGAGTATTTTGAGAAAGGTGGAGACAGCCTTGCTGTTTGCATAGTAGCAAGCATCACTTCAGAGGTCCCGTGTAGTTAGCATCCTTTGGATGTTTTATCCAGGTTGTGCTGGTGTGTTGGGAAAGGAGCAGACAGATAGACTGGCTGGTTCTGCACTGAGAATCATGCTGCGGGAAGTTACCAGGGGATCTGGCTGACGCTCAGCACTCAAGGGATAGGCAAGATGGATGTACAGTCAAACAGTTACTGGTACCATGATTTGATTTGATTTGATTCAAGAACCGACAACACAGCACTCGGGGCATTCCCATAAGCGCTCTGTCCCAATATTCAGCAGCCAGCGAAGAGTTCCGATACTAATGGTGCCAGTAGCTTTCTGATTAAACGTCCGTCTTGCCTTTCCTCTGAGCCTCCAGCTTCTGCCAGAACCTCTCATCACCCCCAACTGCATCAATCTCACCAGACTGTGGTGATCCATCTGCTCCTCCGAATTGTACACGCTCTCCCACAAGGCACTAACCACGTCTGCCCTATCATGTATCAGTATTCCACCAAGTTGTGCAGAGCCAGCCAGTCTGTCCGCCTGTTCATTTCCCATCACACCGGTGTGACCCGGTGAAAAAATCCAGACAATACTCCTCACTCGTGTCCTCGGCAGCGAAGCATGCCACTCTGCACGAAGCATACCTGTTCTGATCTTCCTCAGCATGCTTTCTGAATCAGTTACAATCACGATGTGTGTGTGTGTCGTGTTCTCTAGCCAGCGGAAAGCTGCAGTGATCGCCTTCACCTCCATTCTTAAGCTGGATGTTGTGGTATCATATGCTAGGCTCTCCTGCACCAAACGTCGACCATTAACTTTTGCTAAGAAGCCCCAAGCACTTCTTTTGCCTCTTGACACTGAACCGTCTGTGTAAATGATCAAATCCTCCGAGCGAGCATTATCTTGAATTAATTGCTGAATTTCCACCTCTGTGGCACCTGCTGACCAGTCTCTGCATTCCTGGCAGGGGTGTCTCTGGTACAACCCAGAATGACCCGCATAGCTGCGTTCTGTACGCCCTCTAGTTTGTCCATCTGACTCTTTGAGACGGTAAGCAGTAACCATCGGAATTGGAACTCTTTGTTTGTTGCTGAAGATTTTGAGGGAGCGCTTATGGTAGTGTCCTGAGTGCTGTGATGTCGATTCTTAATTCAACATTCAACATTATCATCATCATAATTCTGTTCTGGCATTTATGCGACACATAGGGCTCATAGTCAAATTCTCTGTCACATTCTATTTTTTTTTGGGGGGGTTACTATCCTAATGGAATCCAGCCCAGCAAATTTGGCCTTTTTCCTCATTGTTTTTGGTAGTGTTTCTCTTGAATACCCTCGTTTTCTCAGTACATTTGTTTTCCATTTCACTGCCTTTTTGGTGGTTCTCTGTCTGCTTTTCCTCATAATATGTCCAGTTTATAACCTTGTCTTTTTTTTTTTAGCCACTGATACTAGTATCCTCTCAGGTCGACCCAACCTTGAGTGGGTACCAGGTGCAGTCCCGGGAAGTAAAGGCCGCCGGCGTGATGCTGACCACATCACCCATCTTGTACCGATTGGTCTATAAAATATAGGTCTAGCCTAATATGCCCTATACGCCTAAAGGTATGAAAAAGGGTCATTTACTTTTTTGTTGTTATACCAGTATGTAGTATAGTACAAACGTTTCAATGAGATGTAGGATTTGTTGGTTCTGTTATGGGTTCACCCAACAGTTGACATTTCTGTGACAATGTGGGTGTTTTTCTCTCCACCAGGTACGAGTATTCCATTGAGTTGTTTAAACGTTCTTGTGCTGGATACTGTGTGGCCACGTTTGTTCTTGGCATTGGAGATAGGCACCCTGAGAACATTATGGTCACATCAGAGGGACAGGTAAGATTTGTTTCTTGAAATTAATCAACTCGGCAAACACATAATTTAGGTATGAGCCAAACCAGCCTGTCAGTGTCTCCTGCTGAGCATACTATAGAACTCATAAGACTATTCTCTATAGTAGCCACATCCAGTAGACCTGACAACTTAGCTTTAGGGAAGCCTGAGAGGCCTTGAACTGCCATCCCAGTTTGTAACCCACAGGGTTTAAGTGCATAACCAGAGATCACTGAAGAGGTTTTGAACAACGGATCAGCATCATGGCACACGGGTAGTAACCCATAAGTGCTCCATTCTTCTAACTCAAGTCTGAGTCTGAAGAAGCTCAGCACAGTGCACAGAATCTGTAGCACCAGCGAATGTCCTAACATACTCTGGGTAGATTTTAAACTCACAATTTTGCCCGGGCAGCGGCGTTAGACTAGTCTTTTTGATTTCCAACCGCCAAAGGATTTTTTTTTTTACGTTCTCAACAATGCAAAGGGGCATCCGATCTCACTACCCAGAGACCAGGGGGAATTACTAAAAGTCCAAGCCCACGTGAAAAAATCCTAACCCTTACCGGGGATTGAAACCGGAACCTCTAGCACTCGAGGCGGACACCATGCCTGAGACCACGCAGACCGCCTAGATAACTGAAGAAGAAATTAATCATACCCAAAAGCACCCAGAGAAGGGGAAATTAGGGACAGCGTTGAGTAATATGGGAAGGTCATCGAGGGATCTGCCTGAGATAGCAGTAGATAATAGGACAGCTTCCTGTTGGTTGCTTCAATGTGGGATAAAGGACAAAAGAAGAAGTCATTGCATATAGAGTTTTATTTCTCTTCATTGAACATCCACACAGAATGGGAATGGCCAGTGCCATCATATGTCAAACAGTAGACAGCTGACTTGTCCTTTCCACGACACCTTATGGCAATATTGGAAGTTGATGATGATGTTGATCTTAAAATTAAATGAGTTGTCACTCAACCAGCTAGACAACCTTGAGAGATGTGATACCATCATTTTTTTTAGTGTATTGAATGTGTAACACTTTGCACCCATCTGGCATTATAGACTTGTAGATTTGCTTGACCATTTTTCAGTGGTGAAGTGGTTGAGCTTTATTACTTTGCACTCTTCTTCCTCATGTTTATTCAGCTGAAACACCTGGTGGTTCTACCACATCTTGACTTTGATCTTGCTCCAGGAGTTGAGTCTCACATGCACATCCATTTGATAGATCTATTTTATTTGTGTGCGGACTGCTGGTTGTTTGCCTCTGATGTAGATGCACTCCAACTTGGAAGGAAATGTTGATGCTAAATGTATTGGTCAGGCCCCTGTTAAGTGCATGACCACAGAGATATGTAAATATATCTTGACCTGTATGAACCCTGCTGCTGCTGCAGCACATGTATCCCAGCACCTCTGCATCCTTCTTACACTGTGAAGATTGTGGGGTTTGGTTTTATACTCAGTCCTTCGGTAGATGCGTGTAGACCTTGAGAAAAGCAGTCATCATAACAAGAAAAGGCTGTAGGTTAGTTGTGTATCCTTTACAGGATGTTGCAGAACCAACCCCAGCAGCCCCTGGCTGTTGTGTGGTTTCTCTAGACAAATTTATGTCCAGTAGTTTGCTTTTGCTTTATGGACAGTCGGCGCCCTAATACCACTGTCGAAACCAACGCAAGGCGTATGGCCCGCAGCTGGGATCAAACCCGGAAGTCTTAGTCTAAGTACATGCTCATTTTGTTTGCACAACTTGGAGCTGGATTTACAAATTTACAATTCATTGACTAAGTAGATCATATTTACAAATACATTTGTCCCCAAGTAGAACATATACCCAGGAAGGCTAAATCGGTCAAAAAATGCCTACAGAAGTCGGATGTATCAGCCAAAAGCCGCAAATATTGCAGCCCTGTTGTAAACTGGTACAACGCAATAACGTCTGGATAAATGAAGAAGAAGAAGAAGAACATATACATTTATTGATAAGTCCTGCCTAATTATTGTCACATGCATCAATTTTCAGGTGTTCCATATTGACTTTGGCCATTTTCTGGATCACAAGAAGAAGAAGTTTGGAATCAACAGGGAGCGAGTTCCCTTTGTGCTTACTGAAGATTTTAGGAAGGTTATAGCCAAAGGTGCAGATAAGCCAGCCAAACACCCAGGATTCAAAGAGTATGTATTCTGTACATTCTGAAGCATTTCTATGTCTTCTTGTTGTTGTTTTCTTGTTTGCACTTTAAGACGGGAGTGCGTTAACCAAGCCAGGCTTCTCTGTGGGTTAGAGAACCATGTTCTGACTCTGGTGGTGTTTTATGTTTGCTTCTATAGACAGATCTCTGTCACATAGGGGTCTCCATAGTGACATAGTTCAGCTGTTTGCTTCTGTAGACAGATCTCTGTCACATAGGGGTCTCCATAGTGACATAGTTCAGCTGTTTGCTTCTATAGACAAATCTCTGTCACATAGGGGTCTCCATAGTGACATAGTTCAGCTGTTTGCTTCTGTAGACAGATCTCTGTCACATAGGGGTCTCCATAGCTAATTTTTTTTTTTTTTTTTTTTTTATGATTTGAGACTGCGACAATACAGCTGTTAGCAGGCTTGCCTGTTTGGTTGATATTTATAAAACTTATCAAGATGAGAATTATAGTGATGCATTTTTTTAGCATAACATTTTGACAAAGGTCATTTATTTTAAAGATTCTTATGGGTTGAAAGTGTTAAATATGCATGTTTATTGCTAGTTCTTATAAGTCACACGTGAATTTTTCTGAAAAAATACTGTCATGGAGGTTACTGGAAGAAGAAGAAGAAGAGGGTTTTTTTCTGTGGAGTGGTTAGCCTTTTGCCTCGTGCTCTGAAAGTTATGTGCTCAGTTTTTAGCTCTTTCATTTGGTTTGTGAGTACATGTAATTTGGAGATCCCTAAGGATGATTGCTAGAGCTACGATGTTTGTACCCTGTACAGTGCTTTTTCAGATGAGCAGACACTGTGTGGAGAGAGACCAGTACAAATGGGTTAAAACCTTGGTTCAGTGAACTGGATCCACTTGGCTTTTTCTCTGCCTATATTGTTGTGTCATTGATGCGTAAGGCATTAACAAGTGATCTCTGTTGCTGCCAGTCTACTTTTCTGTCTATGGTTCCCCCTTTCATGTACATTCTTTCATTTCTTTTTTTTTTTTCCCTGCTGTTTTTCAGGTTTCCTTATATCTTCCATGTCTCCTTTTTCCAAATGCAGTTCCTTGTCAGAGGTTGTGTGGCATTCTGTAAACATGACCAAGCCATCTCTCATCTTTATCCTTAGATACCAGTGATAAGCATTTGATTTTTTTTCCTCAGTTCTTCATTTGTGATCTTGTTTGGCCAAACTGTTCACTGAATCCTCCTTGGACATGCATTTTAAAATGTCTCTAGTTTTTGTGTAATTCCCACTATCATTTTCTTAAACTTTGTTTATTTGTTTTGTCTTCTAACTGAAGCCCCTTTGACTTCCATGTATTGTTCCAGTTGCCTTTAAATACTGTTTTCTCTTTCATATCAGATTCCAAGAGCTGTGTGGTAAAGCCTACCTCATCTTAAGGAAACATGCCAACCTCTTCATTACCCTGTTTACCATGATGCTACAGTGTGGCATCCCAGAGCTGCAGTCCCTGGATGACATCGGCTACATCCGCAAGACGCTGGCTGTGGAGAAGGACGAACAGAAGGCCCTGGAGTACTTTCATAATCAGTTTCATAGTGCCTATGGTGATTCGTGGACCACAAAAGTGGACTGGTTTTTCCACAACATGAAGCACAAGCACTAAAACTGATGTTCCTTAGGTGTAGCAAATATTGTATTTGATGCTTTCAGAATAACATGTATACTTGTTTTAAGTCAAGTCAGTTCTATAGACGTGCAAAAACAACAGATGTTTGTGAGTGTAGGAATTTCAAATACAAGTTTGTAGTCTATGCCAATCATTATAAAACTGCCCAAACTGACCAGTGGATACTTCAGAATAACTCTATGACTGTGGCTCTGGAAAAGAATAAAGATAAGACCATGGAGTTTATTGAGATATACAGGGTTGTTCAGAGTGATGGATACACTTTAATTCGTGTATATTTCCTTGAATATACATTACATATTAATAATATACATACAAGAGAGGGAATGTCTAAAGTTTCGAATGCTACCCCTAGAGCGTATTTTTATAATCAGCCACTCATATCACAGCTGCTGGAAACGCAGAAGAGATGCTTCTTCGTGCATGAGATGAGTTCGTCCACCTCTTAGATGTTTGCCAAGCAGCCTACAGCGGTCATATTGAACATCTCTAACCTCTGTCATATGTTTGTCAACTTAAGACCTTCCCCTCTCTCTTATGTATATTCTATTAATATTTAATGAATATTCAAGGAAATATACATGAATGAAAATGTATCCATCATTTTGAATAACCCTGTATAAATGACTGCTTTGTCAACAACATAAAGCGGAGGACGAATACAACCCTCGTTGTTTTCTTCTTCTTCTGTATTCACCCTTATACCTACGGTTGGCTTGTTTATGTTGTGGTTTGCAGCTAGGCTGAAATATCTAGCTTTCAGCCCAACACATCTGGACTTAAGCAGACTCTTAATGAATCACTTTGTATATGTTTGCAAGGGGCAGTGGGATCCCCCCTTCCCCTTTTTCCTGAACCCTCACGGGAAAATCTTAATTTGTTTAGGTCAGTTCTGTAAAGGTTCAAGAGCAGAAGATTGAGTGTAAGTGAAGAACAGGCAAGGGTTTTACCAATACAAAGCTGAACACTGGATATAGAAGGTTCCTTGAGCTTGATGACAAAATAAGGCTAGGGAATTGGCAAGGCACAAAGAGAGTTTCCAGCGATCCATGGATAGGAATTCTTAGTTACTACTGACAGGGTTCCTGACATTTATTGTTGTGTGCATCTTTGTATGGGCAGCACTCACATCCTTTTTTAATGTCCCTAGTTTTTTTCTACATCTTTGAGCACAGTATCGTTATAATTACTGAGCCAGTGTTTATTTTATAGTGGCGTCCGTAATCCAGCGTACCACGATCGAAACCCACTGCTGGCTGCGTGGATTTTTATCATGGTATAAGGGCGTCGCAAGTCGAACCAGCCTAAAATGGGTACTAGGATGGCTGTCCTGGGGCTGGGGAAGTAAAGACGGCTGGCGTAATGCTGACCACATTACCCATCCAGTGCCAATTGGTCTGTAAAAATACGGGACACTCTTCCCATATACCCAATGCGCCTAAGGCGTGAAAAGGGATCTTTACTTTTACTTACTTTACTTAGGATTTGAATAGGGAATTTGGAATATGTTTTTATTTTATTTTCATTCTAAATGTTGCTCATTGGGTCACATTGGTGTCAATCTGATATATAGAGCACATCTTAGAAAAAAGTAAGAATTTCTAGACTTTAGTTTAACTGCTCAAGTATTATAATGTATAATCACATCAATTTTGTCTTGTGCTTCAATCTCACGATAAATACTGTTTTTTAGGTTTAATTTCTATTACAGTTATTGTAATTTTAGCTTTTATTTGTTACTTTTTCAAAATATTTTTTATTTGTTATTTAAAAAATGTGTATGTGTTCTGGCTTATGATGAAATTATTGGTCCAGCTTTATGAAGTTTAACACAGCACCTTGTGGTGGTTAGTGTATTATTTCAGCAGTCAACAAACATCAGTTGTTCTTGTTTGTCTTTGAAACTGGCCAGAATATATTTATTCACACGTATCCCAGGTTTACTTCTGTGAATATTGTATTTAAGAAACTTTCAGAATATATTTATTCACACGTATCCCAGGTTTACTTCTGTGAATATTGTATTTAAGAAACTTTCATGTCGCATCATCACTGTGTTCAAGTGGGAGAATTGATTGATTTATTTGTTACCTGTAAGGTCAGTGTGCTTTGGACGTCACATACTACTTGAGTGTCTTCAGTCTTATGTACTTTCTCTTCTTCTCCTACCTCCCACTCCTCTTCTTCTTCTTTTCCTTTTTCTTCTACTTCTTCTTCTTCCTCCTCCTCCTCTTCATTTTCTTCTTCTTTTTTTTTTAAATCACCCAGTTTGGATATCTCTCACTCAGTTCAAACTTAGCTCTTCTGTCTGTAGATATTTTCATGGTTGGTTGGATGGATTTTTCAGGTAAATTTTCTATAATATAATGTAACCAATCCCAGACCAGCCCTCCTTAGTCTTCTTTTTAAGATAACATAGTCGCTTACAGTTGCAGTTCTTTGCTTCTCTATTGGACCTGGAAACACACACGTGTTCTGGTGCCAAAACTGCTAAACCTATTGAAAGCATCTGCTTGTATCTGATGATTGGTACAGGGCCATAACTATCTGATGATTGGTACAGGGCCATAACTATCTGATGATTGGTACAGGGCCATAACTATCTGATGATTGGTACAGGGCCATAACTATCTGATGATTGGTACAGGGCCATAACTATCTGATGAAAGCTGCTCCTTGTAAATGAGAGAATTAGATGTAGACAATTCCATTGACAACAGTAAGTCCTTTATTTTTTGCCTAATTCTCTCGATCAAAGAACATACAATGTCTGATTAGTTTCTCATCATGTATATCAGTCAATGCCATGTGTGATTAATTGTAACTCTCGTGTTTAGTAAGAGCACAGAAAAGGTTATTGGGAATGCATTAATTTTTACAAGGTTTAAATATTTGGTTGCTGTGAAAGTATTGCTGGCTGCGAAAGTTATCAGAAGAGATCAAATCAAAAATGAGGTCAGAAGAGAACATTTTGGCCTAATACTAACTAAATTACATAATAAAATACATTCTGATATTTTCAGTTTTCTGCTATATTTGTTTCCCATTATTGTTGATTGTATTGTTATTGCTTTATGGCAGTTTAGCTACTATAGGTACAGAAACCTGGACAAAGGGCAAGCAGTTAGACCCTGGAGATTTAATTATAAAAAAGAGTACATCATACTTGAAACTAAAACAATCGAATAGTTTTGGGAGAGACTGGGAGTAAAAGAAAGTTGTTCAAAGATGTGAAAATAGAGAGAAGTAAAATATTTTGGCCAGATCAAAAGACATAACACTCTTACATAAACTATACTTGAAAGAAATGTTGAAGGCTGGTGAACAAGAAGTAGACAG